GAAGATGTGATTTAGATGTGGACAGGCGTGTCGCTGCCGGAAACAAAGTCAACGGTGCCCTGAATGCATTAGTAAAAAGGCAAGGCGTGGTGAAGAGTGCACGCCTTGCAATACATAACGCAGTGTTAGTACCGACTTTGTTATATGGCGGCGAAACCTGGATATGCCAGAAGAAGCATAAAAGCAAGTTGAATGCAGTGGAGATGCGATCTCTTCATAAAATGTGTGGCGTTACCATAGCCGACCGAAAGCGAAACGAAGAGATTCGCAATATGGCAGGATTGAAAGATGACCTTATCACAAAAATTGATAGGGGCGTACTCCAATGGTTTGGGCACGTTGAACGAATGAGTGAAGACCGAATGGTGAAGAAAATATATAGAGCGAAAGTAAATATTAAAAGGTGTCGAGGTAGACCGAGACTAACTTTATTAAGTATTTGTCTCAATTTAATTTTAAAATAGTGCCGTTTAAAATTTGGTATTGTTAGAGTATTAGGGCGCTTTTAGTGTCACGCGGATTTGCTCACGCACGCGGGATTGGACCGCATGCGTAGCATCCGCAAAGAACAATTTCATATAGGTATCTATTGTAAAGCGTGATAAACGCACGCGGGACGCGGGGCGCTGTGCGGGGCGTCACCCCGGTGCGGGGTATCCGCATGCGTAAGCGCTGCCTACAACTTCAGTGCCCATTTTAGAGTCGAGCGGGGCGCACGCGCCGTATTGTACTACCGAAATGAAAATCGATACAGAACGAGTAATCATTGAAGTTCATCTGCGGCCCGTTTTGTGGGATAAACGCAATGAATTATACAAACACAGGGACGCGAGGGAGGCTGCATGGAGAGATATTTTGAAGGAATTGGCACCTAACTACGAAAATTTGAGCGAAGAGGAAAGAAAAGAGGCGGGTATGTGTTTGGTTCATTATTTTATTTATACAAGCATCATTACTTTATTAATATAAGCATAATTATTTAATTCACAAATAACATCAAAAACCTTCTAAAACCTTTTGAGTTTAGTTAATTAATTATATATAGGTGTTGCCAGGAGACTTTTCCTTCATTGATAAAGTAATCTGCAAATATATCTCTGATATTACTTGCCGACGTATTACTACTTTCAGTCTGCTGCCTGGGTAGTGGTCCCGTAAAACCATTTGTGACAAATGTATGGCTGACCTTGTAGCCATCCCGTTTCCTTATGAAATTGTGAAGTACACATGCCGTCTTGACTATTAATTGTGCTAGATCTAACTTGACATTCATGGATCTGTGAAATATTCTAAATTTATTTGACATAATTCCAAAAGTGCATTCTATGTACCTTCTAGCTCTGGACAGACGGTAATTAAATATTTTCTTTTTGTAAGGTAAATTATCACGAGCATAAGGCCGCATCACATGTGATGATAAACCAAATGCCTCGTCTCCCACTATCACGAACGGCAACTTTGCTCTTACACTAGATGGATAAGCTACTTCGGGGCAAATAATAGGCAACTCTTGCGGGTCAGGGATACCCAACGTGTTACTTTCCAGTTTCGTATACAATTGACTCCTTCTAAAGATGGTTGAATCGGCGTTGCTTCCACTGGTACCGACATTAATATATGTAAAATTATAATCAGCATCACACATTGCGAGGAGCACTACAGAATAATATTTCTTATAATTAAAATATAGTGATCCACTGTGCGGCGGCCGAATCACTCTTATATGTTTTCCATCAATTGCACCCAAGCAATTAGGAAAATTTGTATATGTGAGAAATCCCTCTGCGATTTCTTTCCATTTGATCCCATTAAGCTGTGGAATACATTCAGACTTTAGTTCAATCCATATTATGTAACAAACTTGTCTTACTATTTCGCTAATTGTTGCAATTCCAATCACATAGGAATAGTGTAGATCAGTGAATGTATTACCAGTTGCCAAATATCTGAAAACAAAAACAATATATTAATAATATGATAACATAATATATTAATAATGCTGACATCAGACATAAGACAGCATGCACCGCTCGAATTTTACTTCAGAAGAAAAATAAATACCCTTAAGGTAAGGGCACGGAAGTAGCTAGCGCTAGAAGTTTTTAATTCGTTTTAACTACAGTACTATAGCTACGTTAGATTTCTATGATTTGCCGAAAATTTTATCATAGGGGGGTATTTATGCAGTTATGATTTCATATGAAAAGTTCGAAGTATAGTTATGTATCTCATATCTACTAAAAGTGGCCACTTTTAGCAGATTTGAGACACATAACTATGCTGTAAATATTTTATAAGAAATCTTCTCTGTATAAATTAACCCCTATGGTAAAATTTCCGGCAAATGAAAGGAATCTAATAAATATATATAATATAATATAATGAAATATCGTTTATTTCAGGCAATATTTACATTACAAGATGTCCTCCTTCATGAAGGTTGACAGATGCAAATAAAGCAAATTTTTGTTAAAACAAATTAAAAACTTACAGCGCTAGTGACTTCCGGAAGTTTTCACCTTAATTTTGATGATGGCAAATTTTACTGTAACAAATAAACAAATTGCCCGATTCAATCCGGTGTTTTTCCAAAAATCCTTAAATGAAGTTCTAATTATTTTTGTAAAAAATGAATTATTTCGTCGATGTCTGCGTCGCGCCGCCCCGGCCGCGCCGTCTGCGTCTAGTATAAGATTCACTTTGCGCTATCGTTCGCGGCGAAATTGACCGGCCTGCGCCGGCCCGCCGTTTGCGTTGCGCCTAAGGGTACTTTTCCTTCAACTGCGGCCTTATTTTTTCCACTCTGTATAGGTATATATATATTGCTTGATTTATCTAATGCTTCATGAGACAGTGTAAAGTTGACAACATGTGTGAATTAAGGAGGGCCTTTAATCGAATGCAGTTAAATTTCCAACTAATATCAGATTTGTACACACGGCCACAGATCAAGCTTCCCAAAACCAGTATAAACAGGACTCATGCGTTGTTTATTATCGTAGACGACTCGGCGCCCGGCGAGGCCCTAGCAAGTTCCGTTTATTGGTACTGGTTTTGGGTAACTTGATCTGAAACTGTGTGTACTTTTGCCACTTACTTATTATATTTTGTCATTTCAGACAAGAAAATACAACAACGCTGGCGAACAGCAAGGGACACTTACCAGAAAGACAAGATATCTGAAAAAAATCAGCCATCCGGCTCTGGGAGTAAGAAGAAGAAGAAGAAATATTCTTACTATGACATTTTGACTTTCTTAGACAGTACAACGGAAACTGCTGGAGAAGAGTCACTCTGTGAAGAAATGTCTGAACAAAGTAATTTAGAAACACCTAATGAGTCCACGCAACCAGATACTTCACGTCAAGAAAGTTCTCACCCAACATCAAAACAAAAACAAGTAAAATCTAAAAAGCAAGCACCATCTGAATTTGAGGCACAGTTATTAGAATGCTTAAAGTCTAATCAACTGGAGCTAGAAAGTGAGGATTTGGCTTTCTTTCAGTCTCTGCAGCCTTCATTAAAAAGATTCACTAGATATCAAAAACTAATGTTCAGAACAAAAGTGTTAAATATAGTTATGGAAATGGAAAGTCAAACACAACCTGCATACTACAGTCCCATACCTACAACAAGTTCTAGTGCTTTTACTGAGCTTGACAGTTTGTCACCGATAAATCAAGATTACCAAACCAATAGTATAATCCAGGATACTTCGAGTCTTAACGACAATGCTATTAGTTCTGCTGCAGTGAATGACAATGAAACTCTTATTTCGACTGAAAGCGGCCTGTTTAATATCACGTCTTATGACGTAATTTATACCCCAGCAACAACATCATCTACAGGCGAAAGTAATGTCAACGCTCAGGATACAAATTTACAAAGAAATGAATGATGTAAAATTTGATTTTTTAATTTATGAATAAAACTCTTTTTTATTAAAATGAGTACGATTAACTTTTTTCTCCAGTTTCTCTCTAATTGTTTGTTTAGTCATATGAGTGCGGTTGTACACACGGCACAGATCAAGTTACTCAAATCCAGTATAAGCGGGACTCCGACGGGTTACCTAAGTATGATAATACGCAAGGCGCGAGTTCCATTTATGCTGGTTTTGGGTAACTTGATCTGTGGCCATGTGTACTTTATCAGATAAAAAAAAGGATTGTGTATGTAGGTTGAACGTACCAATCCCAAACCAATTAAGGACTTTTTTTGACTTTAAATTACTGTCATGTGCAAACCTATAACTTTTATCTATATTATAATAAGTAGCGTGTGATGAAAGGTAGGAATGATTCCACTTTAATGGCGACATTTTATGAGTGAAATAATCTTATTTAATGAAATTTCAACATGAAATTGAATGAAATTATGAACAATGAAATTTCAGAGTACATGACAAAATTTTTTTTTGCACATGTAAATTTACACATGACAGTAATTTGAAGTCAAAAAACGTTTATCCTACCTGTTCAAATCCCTTTCCACTAAATCATAGCAGGAAATTAAATATTTAAAATTTAAAACTTACCTTAATGTAATAGCGAGCCTCTCAATCGGTTGTATTGTAATCCTTCGTAAACTGCTTTTTTGTAGCTTATTCTCAATTTTACACAACAGTTCATCAAAAGAACGAATGGACATTCGAAAGTAATTTTTAAATTTACGTTCATTATTTTGTAGTTTTCCAAAGCGTGTAACAAACGCCCCAGCAAGAAGCCTATTTTCAAGAAAGGGATCAACATGTACTCTTGTCTTCTTGTTTCGTCGTTTGTAAAGTATGTAAGCGACACATATTCTTCTGACATTGATCATTTTTGAACACGTCTATACCGTTACGCAGCCCGTAGAAAACTGAAACTCATGCTGCGTATGATCCGCAGCGTGAAATTTTACGCATGCGGTCCAATCCCGCGTGCGTGAGCAAATCCGCGTGACACTAAAAGCGCCCTTATTATGTTATTAATGTCAAACTATTTTTTAGAAACATCACCATGGCGTCCCGGTGGCATTGCGTCGTCCTGTATGCGACGTTATGTTTTAGCACAGGTAAGAATATAAAGGATTTTTTACACCTTTTTTTTAATTGAAGTGAAACACGAATTTAAACTTCACCTGCTCTTAATCACATTACTTCAGTCAAAGGACTTTGTCACCAACTTCAAACATAGAAGGTTGCTGAATCCTGCCACCTAACTAAAAAAATATAAATTAATAATAAAAAAAATTTGGTTACTAACCCGACTACCAAGTGTGACAACTAAACCTCTCCCCTCGCTCATTCCCCTGGTTATTGACCCATTAGACCCCCACGAGGCAAGGAAAAGTTTTATAATATTGAATTGTGTAGCATTTAACTCTCTGCAAGCTGTAAGGTAACACTGGACTCGGGTAGCCCCGATGTTTCCAAAGAGAAAGTCGCTAAATACAATTCAATGTACGCACAATCGAAGGTCTATATATTCTAGTTTTAACCGTTTCACAATTAGCAATATTAGTTATTGATATAGCGTTTTGCTGAACTATCCTTCGTAAGTGTTAATAACAAGTCATATTTAGTGAATTGTAATGCGGTATGTCCGACTACGCCGACGCTAAATGAGGTTATCTTTTACGTGTTATTTTATAATTTAATTGACTTTTTTGCCCATCTGACCTGTAATCAGCTTTTAACAAAGAAGGTTACAACCGGGGAAGGATCACGCTACTCACAGAATACCACCATAAAATAGCAGCTGAATGCTGCTGTTTTTAGTGTGGTAAGTGTAGAGAACCTGCAACATACTTTTTAATGGAGACGAGGCACTCCATCTCAGTCCTCAGGGGTGGCATTGTATCTGTATTTTAATTTTTAAAAGAGGATAAATGTAGTTGTTCATGAGCCACAGCAACCACTTACCATCAGGTAGACTGTGAACTCGTTTGTCACCTTTATCCTATAAAAACCTTAGTTGGAGTGGTTAACGGAAGTATTATACTGTTTTAAGCATTTCTATACGTGGTACTTCTATACTTTTGTACATGGTAGAGCAACGCTCCCGCTATATTATGGTTGTAACACGAATGGGTCGGCTCGACCGGGGATGTACCACGCCCTCACAGAATACCAGCGTAAAATAGCAGGTTAATACTACTGTGTTTCGTTTGGTTAGTTTAGAGATCCGGAGATCCTTTTTACTGGAAACGAGACATTCTATCTGAGTCCTCAGATTTGAGGGAGTCTAAGAGCCACAGATTCCACTTACCATCAGGTGGACTGTGTGCTCGTTTGTTACCCTTATTCTATACAGAAAAAAACTTACAACCAGCATTCTTTAAAAATTAATCATGCATACATTCTTACCTGTCAAATATATTTACTACACTGCTTTGGATTTTACCACAGTTCAGTTAGAACAGCTTAACAGTCATGTTTTCCTGCTATGTAAATATTCCCATATAATATTACATTGGATAATTGGAATTACCCAAAAGTTATGAAAGCTTCCGATATATGGCGGTAAAACCACCTCGTTTACGATAGACGTAAAATACTGACACTGGCGACGGGTAGCATCGTCTTTGCAAAACTTCTGGTATTCTGGTGGAATCGAAAATCCGTTTGACAAGCGTGACGGTTAAGGTCAGTCTCAAAGGGAAAGGGCTCCCCTTTGGGATTGTGAACTGGGTACGATCGACATCAACGAGCTGAACAAGTAGAAGAAACATTACATGGAAACCGTTTACAAATGGACTACACCAATAATAATGTTCTCCAGACCGAGTTTCAGTTACGACGGTCAGTCTCAACGGAGACTATCCATCTGCGCAGGACAGGATTATTGGGCCCGAGTGTATGCACAAACACAGGTGCACTCTCTATTCTCTCACTCTCATAGTCCGATAGGATGGGTATCCGACACGACCGAACAGAGATCACGCGCAGGACCCATGGCTTTACGTGCTTTCCGAGGCAAGGGGTTGAAAAACCGCCCATTTCCTAACTCCGGTCTGGTACGGAGAATTTCTTGACAGAAACACCAACAATTGGTTTTCACCCAACCGGGGATTCAAACTCAACCGCAACCGTACTGGGATTAGTGGAAAGGGTTATCGCGCACACTATTGAGGGAGGGCTCTCCATAATAGGTAAGACGTCATTTTATTTTTTCGCGAATTCTTACACTCCTTTGTTTAATTTAACAATACACTATCAAACATATTGAAACTAAGCAAGTGTATTTTTTATTGTCCCAGGGTCAACGAATATGCTGCCGGTTTTCACTCAGGATACTGACAACCTGGCGCTGTCAGAAAGCACGCCAGTTGGTGAAATTGTTTACACGCTACAGGGAAGTGACCCTGAGGGTTTGCCGGTAAGTTGACAGATAGATAAACAGCGTTATCTTCACCGCTACTGTTCCCATTATAGTGATAGTAAGTAAAGTAATCGTGTCTACCAGACCGAATTTGGTCACGGCGGCCAGTCTCAATGGAGACTAGGCATTTGCACCGGACATGATCTATATAGCTCATGAGTGTGTGTCCAAGCACAGGTGCACTCTTTTTTCCCTCACTCTCATAGTCCAACGGCAATCCGAAACGAACGGAGAGAGGTTAGGCGCATAGCAGCAGTTGCTCTTCAAACTAGGTAAGACTGTGAGAAGTAATTCTTACCAACTTTAATATAATGGATTTCCGCAAAGTAACGCCTGATTCTATCAATTATATCAGCCGCATAACCAACAACTTTATGTGATTTCCAAGGCACGATGCTGAATCACCGACATTATAGTTACATCCTATAAGTCTGTGGCGGCGCTGTCGTCGCGCCACAAGCGAAATACACCGAAGCTTAAATCACGCTATCAACATTCCGAATCATAGACAGTATAATATATAGAACTTCTCCGAACTATCACTTGGAGTGTTGGCCGCTCCCCGGGCAGAACACCTTGCCCGGTGGGAGATCTCCCCTTTTCCTTCATCGGCCACAGTGGTGACCCCGACGTGATCTGAACACGCAACTAAACAACCTTCGGAAACTTCAAGCTTCATCATCGTCATAGAATACCCATTCGCTCCCGAGCAGATATCGTCTGCAGTCTTCATATCCTGCAAGCCATCTAGCTTCACAAGGTTCATCGCAGCACTGGAATAATAATGCTTCCTGTTCCTGTAACTACTCTCTGCGCCATACAGTGTTCGGCACGGCTCTGAGCCTTACTGCTCGCCTCTGCCTCACGGCACTCTCGCAGATTACTTGCCTTCTTCTCGACTCACCGCAGACTACAAGGCAATCTCCTGGCACTTGCACATTCGTCGACAACTCGACTGCACTATTGACCTCCGGTCTGAGCAGGGGGTGATGTGGCGGCGCTGTAGTCGCGCCACAAGCGAAATACACCGAAGCTTAAATCACGCTATCAACATTCCGAATCATAGACAGTATAATATATAGAACTTCTCCGAACTATCACTTGGAGTGTTGGCCGCTCCCCGGGCAGAACACCTTGCCCGGTGGGAGATCTCCCCTTTTCCTTCATCGGCCACAAGTCCCCTTAGTAAGCGCTGTGAAAGATAATTAGTCTGACGTGCTGCCCCAGATTATCGCCTAGTGGTGGTGTAAGAATATCCAAAACCCCATATTATCCCGTGGGTGTCGTAAGAGGCGATATAAAATTGCAGAAACGGAATAGTATTTTTTTTTTGGTAACAACTCAAAATAGTGAACAAAAGACTGTGGTTTCCAATCTACCTGTGAAGTTGGCAACTATATCAAATGTCCCTCCTATAAAGCATTCTTTGGAAGAGGCCTATAATCAGCAGTTGGCTTTTGATAGGCTATAGCAAATAAATAAATGAATGATAAAGATATAATAATGATTTCTTTTATTTTATTGATGATTTTATTCACAGATATAATAATTAAATATAATGTCCTTATATTGATAAATTTTGTATGTTTCAGATAAAATACGGGCTTGTTGGAACCGACAAGTTCTCCGTTAACCCGGACACTGGGGAAGTAACGTTAATTAAACCGCTGGATAGAGAGGTAAAGTGTTTTTACTATATTTGTTTAACCTTACCACAATTACTAGGAATTTCGGCTTTTTTCTGTCTTGGAGACAGTCTGTGTTACTAACCCTCCTTTTTTTTAAATATAGGGTAACAAACAAGCACACAGTCCACCTGACGGTAAGAGCATGCTGTGGCCTGTGGCCCATTGATACCTTCTTCTGTCCTCGATTAAGAATCAAAATGCATGTGCGTTGTCATCCCAGAGGACTAACATGCTAAGATAGAATGCCTAGTTTCCAGTAAAAAAGGTATACGGTTCCGGTATAAACATTTACATATTGCTGTCGCCGTACAGTAGTGAGTGAACCTAGAGCTGTTATTATTTTTTATAGAATAAAGGTGACAAACGAGCACACGGTTCATCTGATTATGAATAAAATGCAGATGCGTTTTTACCCCAGGGGAAGATAGAATGCTTCGTTTCCAGTGAAAAGGGTCTTCGGTTCTCCACACTCACCAAACAAAACAAAGCAGCATTACGCTGCAATTTTACATGAGTGATCCTACCCCGGTCCAGACGACACATTCTCCATCACATATATGTAAAACGCAGTTCCTTCACGTATAGAATGTATAATAATAGCATTGTTATTTTATATAAAATTGAAGTGACTAGAAAACCATGGAGGTCCGTGGACCAACGGACACCTGCAATGTAATTTAAACAAAGAAAACTACAGATGCAGATATTTTAAAACTGTTGGCAGATCTGTGGGTTTTTCCGTTAAGGTTATGGCGTCTGTAATAGATACAATGTTTATTTTTAATACTAGTATCGAACCTGGTGTGTTTCCTGATTTAATGAAACCTATGATTAAAACTACTTTTACGGATTTTATCGCGTTTATTTTTACTTTTTATTTACTTTTATTTTTAATTCCCGACGTTTCGGGCGCTTTCCAGCACCCATGGTCACGGGGGACTGAGATGACTGACGTCCCGATGTCATTGTTAAACCCGAAGTACTTTCAGCTTTTTTAATTATTGTTTATGGTCCGATCTATGCAAAATGAACTGACTATGGCCTGAGGTCTTGCAGTGGTATGCTTGGGTTTAGTTTTAATTTTATTGATTATAGGATCCCAAGCAGGTGGTAGTACCCAGCCTCCTTCTCTATTGAAATTAGGATGTTTTTTAATTTCAATAGCCTCACGTATCATCCTTGGTAGGAATCGGTGTTCTTTCGCGAGGATTTGTGGTCTATCAAATCTGATGTAATGGTTGGGGCCGTCTAGGATATGATCACAAACTGCAGACTTCCCGGAACGTTGATGCTTCATATCAGCTATATGTTCTTTTACGCGGGTCCTAATTGATCTTTTGGTTTGTCCTATATAAGAGAGACCACATTCACAATCAAGCTTGTACACTCCTGCATCTTGTAGAGGAATATGACACTTGACGGATGGTAGGAACTGACTAATCTTCTTCGGCGGCTTGTAGAATGTTCTAATAGAAGCTCGCTTCAAGATATAGCCAATCTTGTCTGTGACACCTCTGACATATGGTAGTACAGCAGGCACACGCTCGACTGTGGCCGGCTTCACTCGGTCACTGTGACGTAGGAAACGTCGGGAATTAAAAATAAAAATAAAAAGTAAGAAAAAATAAACGCGATAAAATCCGTAAAAGTAGTTTTAATCATGTGCAATGTTCGCGTAAATATAAGAAATCATTATGTTAATGAAACGTAGTAAAATAATACCTTTATTTAAACCTGGTAGTTCTTTGAACCCCGCTAATTTAAGTTGTTGTGCATGTTTCAATGTTATATGAACCTTAAACTACATAAAATTAAACTACCGGGGAATCGAAAAACTCTTCTGTCGAAAATATTTCCATAGTCTACGGAACGAGTGACAATTGATTCTGTTATCTCAAATTATGCGACATGAAGTTCTAATTGTTGTAAATTATTTTTCAGAGGGAAGACACGATAAAGTTCCTGGTGTCGATAGAAGATCGAGATCCTGAAGGCAAGCTAAACCTCACGCAGAGTCAGCCCATGACCGTTATCGTTTTGGACGAAAACGATAATCCGCCTATTTTTAAAAACGTTATTATTTTTTTAATATCTTACAATGAAAATGAACCTTGGAAGTTCTAAACTATGTATTAGTAAGTAGTAGGTATAGACAAGAGACAGTGGCCTTAATGGAAGGGTGCTGACCGCAAACTCAAAAGGTTGTGGGTGCGACACCAGCATTTTCAGCTTACCAGTAGTGTTTAAAAGGAATTTGAGTAGTGTTAATAGCATTGATAATAGAAAATTGGAAAGAGGATACTTGCTGAGCATTTTTCCGCCATTTCTTCTTCGGTTAGAGGAATCTCATTTCGAAAAAGTAATAGACTTGTAAAAAAAACGACATTTCACCAACGAAATTTTATTTTCTGCCGTCGAGGAATTAAGCATACTTATTTTATTTTCTTCCGTCGAAGAAATAAACATATTTTAATTCATTTAATTTCAATCGAACGTAAACTGGGAAGCGTGTGACACACGCCACGAATTGTAATTTTGTTAACACGTTATCTTGGCTTGTGTTTCGAACCCAGAGCAGCGATTGATGGTCAAGTATTCTAGTCAAGGCAACAATATTCAAGTATTTTGTTGCCGCTTAAGATTTCCTGTAGTAAATTTTGTCTTCGAAGTATTTTATAGGCAATATGCCATAATTTGATTTTCTACGTTAATATAGAGTAAGCACCTATTAGAGCACAGCATTGTTTCAAAATTTTCTCGTTTTTAGAGTCCTTACGAAGTCGACGTACCCGAAGATGAGAAAATCGGGAAGACGATCCTCATGAATATTGAAGTAGAAGATCGGGACTCCGTTGGAGACAGTCTGGAAGTTGGATGTGTACCGAGTGAACAGGTGAAATGAACCTTATCTTGTTTATCATACACATTAAAACCGAATGACACAGTTAAAACAGCTGTTAATGTTGGCTATTGCTCACATGACAGATAATTTTTATAAGAGAAAACGACGGCTCACCTGATGGTATGTGTCGACCGCCGCCCATGAACAAATGCAACACAAGGGGAATCCTAGGTGTGTCGCGTGATTAAAATTCGGTCTTTAGAACGCCTTATCGATACCACAAGGAAGTTGTGCGAGGAAGAAAACTTCTTTTAAATCGCAAAGTGGTGGACCGCCAGTTATCCAGATGGTATGGATGGTATCGAGAGTTTATTCGCGATGTGCGATGGTGAAATTGTGCGGATGGAATTAGTCCGAACAAAATTTTTTAAAGCACTCCCCGTGGTAAATGTGATAAAATACGAAAAGAGATGCAACATCTCTTCGCAGTGCCAGTGAGTCATGCCGATCGGAGAAAGCTCAGTCGCCGACGATTCGAACTGCTCGGCGCTGGTTGCGACCTGCGAATGGAAGAAGCTGACGCTGGGGAGCCCCAGCCCAGAGATGGCAACAGTATTCAATGTGCGGTCGAAACGTAAACGGTGTAAAGTAAAAGTGGTGTGCCGGCATGAAATACTGTCCAGCTCAAATGAGCAAGCCAAGATTTTTAGAGGCCAATATGGCCTTCTCTTCCAAGTGACCACGAAACTGCCCATCACTCGATATGTCGAGGATTCCGATACTGACTGAAACAACAATGGGAGTGCCTTGAATATTTTTTACCACGATGGAGGAGGTGGAGCCACGGCTACGCTGGTACCATCCTGGGGACAAAGTGGACTTTACGTTCGCACAAACTTTTCGTGACTAATTCTTACGGAATTTATTGCGTATATTTACTTTTTTTTCTTGACGTCACACTGAAGGTAGACGTCATTACCTATGACATTGGGATGTCGAACATCTTAGTCACCTCGTGACCATGAGTGCTGTAAAATTCGCGGAACACCGGAAATATATAATTTGTGAATATACGCGATTGAATCCATAAAACTATTTACGGGTACCGTAGATGGTCTTTTCTTCACCACCAGACCATTTTAGCACGCATCTGCATTTAGAATTCGTTGCTTGATGTAGGGGTCAATGGACCATAAGATTTACTTACCGTCAGTTTGATTGAATTGGTTTTTTTTTACTATCATAAGCCAATACCTGACTAATATCCCATTTGATGGTAAGTGGTTATGCAGCCGAAGACGGTAAAAGGCACTGAGTTAGCTTAACAAAGGCTTAAGGTTACCTTTAACTGTATAACAAACATTGTAAGAATTTTTTTTATTGAATGAATGTGACAAACGAGTACACAGTACACCCATAGTAAGTTTCTGTGGCCTATAAACATTTATGTATATATCCTTGATCAAGCATTAAAATTCAGATGCATTGGTTACCCTGAATACTAAGGTGGAATGTCTCATTACCACCAAAACGGGTCTTCTGTTCTCTACACTCGCCATATGAAGCACAGCAATACTGTATTCTATTGTCTATGCATGGTCTTATTGGTTGAGCCGATCTGATGCAACCATAATATAACTGCAGTTTGGCTCTACAGCGTATAAAATGTATATTCGAAGTTAAATAATTTTGTTTTGTATTTTCTGTTTATCCCCTAGTGGCCGGAAGCATGTGAGATATTCGAAGTGTCGACCCTGCACTCCACGGCCAACCAGTACGCGGGCGCCTTGGTGCTGATGAAACCATTAGACTATAATGAGAACCAGTTCTACCAGTTCCAGCTGTATGCTACCGTAAGTTTTCCAAAATTATCTAAAATTGTTTGCTTTACCTTTTAAGGGGAAATATAACCTCAAATGGCTTAGCAAGATCCTCAGTTATACCGAAAATATTGCAGCATTAATTTTAAAATAAATATATGGTAAAGTTGAGGATTAATGTTAAGGACTATGTTAGACGAAAACACGATTCCGTAAAATGTTCTCGATAAAAAATATCCAAAGTTACCTCCAAACTGAACAATAAACCGCTGTTATTCATAAAATACTTTAAATAAGATCATGAAACTTTGCATACTAACTGAAGTAACTATAAAGCAGTGCTTATGTTATTTACTATTTTTAAAATACCATTATTTTCACTGTAAATTACCTAAATTATCGGCGTCTTGAAGCTTGATTCCTACCGCCCGGTTAGTATCGCTTCGGCTTTTGAAGGGGGAAGTTGTGTCGCTTACGATCAGAATACACATTACGCAACAGGACGACGTAAAATTAAAATAGGAAATAACCGTAATAAAAATTAGAAGCGACTGGGTTGGCGTTAAGAAACAGGCATAAATATGATAAACATAATGAAATAAGTATCTAACGACCTTTCTACTTACAGTATTAGTGATTACAAACATGTCGGTACATAGCATACGACGCGCGGGGGAAGTGGGAGTGAACTTAGAATTTAAGCTGACTTACTATATCCCCTTAAGGAGCAATTACCTCTCCAGTGCGCGTTAGCGGACTGCACCATATCATAACCACATACAGCCTATTAAAGTCCACTACTGAACATAGGGCTCCCCATAGATTCCCTCATAGAGGGTATTGTTGCAAGCCTTAATTGATGCCCCTAGTGCCATCTAGTATCGGAGAGCAGAACGAGGAGAGCTTTCTAGAAAATGCCATACCTGAACTTTCCACCAACACTACTAAGCTCGTAACAGTATAGTTGCCACGCTTGGCAGGCGTATACAACAATTTAAAATAAAAAAAATTACGGTATAGCAACTTTTTTGCTGACCACCTAAGTGTAATTGGATGCTGTGGCCCATAGACATCCACATTTATCCTCGATTAAGAATCAAAACGCAGATGCGTTGTCACCCCTGAGGACTGGGATGTAGTGCCTCGTTTCCAGTAAAAAGGGTCGTCGTATCTCTACAGTTAGGGAAATTTGGAGTAGGGCAACGGAACCGAAGGGGCCAGCAGCTGGCCGACTTTATGGAGAAAGAGGGACTCTTTATGATGAACTCTTTCTTCCAGAAGCGGCCCCACAGGAAGTGGACCTGGTCGAGCCCCGACGGTTCGACAAAAAATGAGATTGACTTCATTATGACGACCAGACGCCAACTGTTCAGTGATGTCTCAGTGATCGCAAGGGTGAAAACTGGCAGCGATCACCAAATGGTTAGAGGCACACTGAACCTAAACGTTAAGTTGGAGAGGTCTCGTCTAATGAAGTCAACGCTCCGTCCCCCCTCGTGCTCTGGTCCAAAATCCCGAAAAACTTTCAGCTCGAGTTACACAACCGCTTTCAGTGAATACAAGATTGCAATGCAGTGGACGATATGAATGACAAGCTCGTGGAAACTATCCATGCGGTCGGAGCTAAGTTCTGCAAGACCCGCCGCAGAAGAACACAAAAACTCTCCGATCACACTCTTAATCTCATGGCTGTTAGACGGGAGATGAGGCTGCAATCGTCAACAGATTTGACAGCATACAGGCAACTGAACAGACAGATCTCCAAATGCATGCGGCGAGACTTACGCAACTTTAATACTGCTCGTATTAAAGAAGCGATCGAGCGGAACCAGGGCTCCAAAGTCTTTGCCAGAGATCTGTCCGCCAGAAAGAGCCAACTGTCAAGGCTGAAGACTGAGTGTGGCAGCATCGTTTCCGGGACACCTGAGATTTTGAGTGAGATTGAGAGGTTCTATGGGCAGCTGTACACATCATCGTTGGAGCCACACGCAAGTGTGAGTAACGATCCAAGAGCAAGTCTTATCCGACACTATTCCGATGATATCCCGGACGTCAGTCTAAGCGAGATTAGAATGGCTCTCCAGCACCTTAAAAACGGCAGGGCCCCAGGCGAGGATGGAATTACAGCGGAGCTTCTGAAAGCGGGTGGAACACCGGTACTTGAAGTCCTTCAGAAGCTCTTCAATTCCGTCCTCCATAGTGGCACTACTCCGGAGGCGTGGAGCAGAAGTGCGGTGGTCTTGTTCTTTAAGAAAGGCGACAATGCTCTCTTGAAGAACTACAGACCGATTTCCCTTCTGAGCCGCGTCTACGTGCTGTTTTCGAGAGTCATTACGAATCGTCTCGCACGCAGACTCGACGACTTCCAGCCTCCCGAACAAGCCGGTTTCCCGAAAAGGCTTCAGTACCATAGACCACATACATACCCTGCGGCAGATTGTACAGAAGACTGAAGAGTACAATTTGCCACTTTGCCTGGCGTATGTGGACTATGAGAAAGCCTTTGATTCCGTCGAAATTTGGGCGGTGCTGCAGTCCCTTCAGCGGTGCCAAGTTGACTGTCGGTATATCGAAGTGCTGAAGTGTTTGTACAGTAGGGCTACGATGGCTATCCGAGTACAGAACCAGAGCTCGAAACCTATCCAACTGCAGAGAGGTGTAAGACAGGGTGACGTTATATCCCCGAAACTCTTCACCGCTGCTTTGGAAGACGTTTTCAAGCTACTGGACTGGAAAGGATACGGTATTAACATCAATGGCGAGTACATCACTCACCTTCGATTTGCCGACGATATAGTCCTTATGGCAGAATCGCGGGAGGACTTAAGCACTATGCTCAATGACCTCAATAGTGCCTCCCAACGGATAGGTCTTAAGATGAACATGGACGAAACAAAGATTATGTTTAATGTCCATGTCACACCTATGCCGGTAGTTGTTGGGAGCACTATGCTCGAAGTTGTTGACGAGTACGTTTACCGTTTACGTCCGACTAGGTAAGTCCAACTTCGACCGAGAGGTCAATCGACGGATTCAACTCGGCCGGGCAGCGTTCGGGAAATTACGACATATCTTCTCGTCAGGTATACCTCAATCTCTGAAAACTAAAGTGTACAACCAGTGCGTGTTGCCAGTGATGACTTACGGATCAGAGACGTGGTCCTTCACTGCTGGCCGTATGAGGACGCTCAAGGTCGCTCAGCGAGCTATGGAGAGGGCTATGCTCGGAGTTTCTCTGCGTGATAGACTCAGAAATGAGGATATCCGCAGTAAAACCAGATTGACCGACATAGCCCAACGGATTAGTAAGCTGAAGTGGCAATGGGCCGGCCATATAGCTCGAAGAACCGATAACCGATGGGGAAGAAAGGTTCTCGAGTGGCAGCCTCGTACCGGTAGGCGTAGTGTAGGGCGACCCCCCACTAGATGGAGTGACGACCTGGTAAGATATGCAGGAAGTCGATGGATGCAGGTGGCTCAGGACCGTGCTTTGTGGCATTACTTGGGGGGAGGCCTATGTTCAGCAGTGGACCTGTGAAGGGCTGTGATGATGATGATGATGATGATCTCTACACTCGCCATACGAAACACAGCAGTATTAAGCTGCTATTTTACGCTAGTATTCTGTGAGAGCGTGGTCCATCCCCGGTCGAGCCGACCCATTCATGCTGCAACCATAATATAGTTGCAGCGTGGCCACCACGTAAATTTCTTTTGACTAACCAATAGAAATAAGCGTGGATTCAGGAAGAGGGTCATGTGGAGATATGAACTTGCTCACATCACTACTATCTAGACTTACTAAAAAAACTTATCGTGAGGCAGTTTACATAAATTTCTCAAGAACAAGCATCCAGATCCGGAGCAATTATTTGTAGGCCGTACAAATACTTGTTACTTGGAGGATTTGAACCCGTGGCGCTTAGCGCTGCAACTCATTGATAAACCACCAAGGAGCCATTAAAAAGTCCAAGTCAAAATCTTCATCTTCATCCAGAAGATCTCCATTGTGACATTATTTTAAAACGAACATTTTTAATTTAAATGAAAGTAATTTTAATGGATTTTATCGCGTATATTAACTTATTTTATTTTTCCGACGTTAGACAGAAGGTGGCCGTGCTTAGCTATGACAATAGGAAACATCGGGATATAAAACCTATACACATAAATAAAATTAGTATATACGGTACTTTAAAAAAATTCTTAACATAACTCCGAAAAGACGGGATCGACTTTGTGGGAACTTTCACTGGCAGATAGCTGATGTTATGAGGAGTAACTCAGGCTATTTTTATTTTAGAAAAAGATTTAGGGTACGCGCAAAAAATTTAAACCCATGAATCCAATCATTACTGTTATGTTACGATAGGTGTAACATATTCGACGCGGACGAAGTCGCGGGGCACAGTTAGTAAGTTAATCTACGCGATAAAATCCATTGAACTACTTATTACTATGTGTTCGCGTTAAGATAAAAAATCATTACTTTTATTTTTATTACAGGATGGGACACTAAATTCCACAGCGCACGTAGAGGTGAAGGTTGTGGACGTTCAGAACTCACCACCAGTGTTCAGTGGGTCTTTGAGCGGTGCTTTATCGGAAGACGCGCCTGTTGGGACAGTAGTACTTGTTATCAAGGCTCGGGATGCTGATAGGGCACAACCCAGAGACGTCAAGTTGGAGCTCGTCACCAGTACGTATAACAATTTTAAATACAACGTAGTCTTGTGTGGACCAAACAACATTAATATTTAAACACACATTTTTTAATGAAAAAGTGATTAACGAGCTACCTAGGAATCTTTCTAAGTAAGCACCACCTCTTTACTATTTTTGTCAAGAGTCATTACTTGCTCCGCGCTTTTGATTTGAAGAGTAATGTCCTCCAGCACGAATTTCGGTCACAGCGGCCTGCCCCAACGGAGACTAGCCATTGGCGTAGGACAGGCTTATAGTGCCCAAGTGTATTCGCAAGCACAGGTCGACTCTATTACCTTAATCTCATGGTCCGATGGGACGATAAACCGACACGATCGTAGAGAGATCAGGTGCAGGACCTACGGCTTTACGTGCTTTCCGAGGAACGGGGGCGAGACACCGCCAACATCCTGACTCCAGGCAGCTGCTAAGAATTTCTTAATGGAAAAACTCAATATCTGATATTTTTTGTGCGCGACCTGGGATTCGAACCCGGGACCTCATGGTCAGCAGTCGCGCTACTACAACCACTAGACTAACGAGACAGTCAAGTAGAAGAGTAATAGAAAGCCAAATTATACCATATAGACTGTTAGCATTCCATCCTAGTCCTCAAGCTGACGACGTTCTGAATTTTGATTCTTAATCAGGGCATTTACCGCATCTCCTTACCATCAGATGGACTGCTCGTTTGTCACCCTCATATAAAAGACTTTAGTGTCATCTGCCATGTCAGTAACGTTTTATATATTTTGTACGTATTTCGGCATAGTTGTGAATTTCACATCTGTGATGATGAGACCCTGACATTTAAAAGTGTAAATCTACCCGATCCATACTTTTGTAGTATTAAAATTAAAGACTTATTTTGCTTTTTATTTTTGTCTTTGTGCTGTGCTTGTGATGCTTCCTTTCTTTCATTAATCCTTGTTAAAATAGATTTTTTTTACATAAAATATGTTCTAACAGTTATAAGATTATTCATAGATGTCGGATCCGATTTTATTAATGTATAAAATTGTTGAATCATCAGACCCTCTGGATTTCTTCTGGTTGGACAGCAGTACTGGGGAGCTAAAGACGGCAAAACCCCTGGACAGAGAAGCGCTAGCTGATCCAAACTCACCGTTAAATCTAACTGTTCGGGTAAGAGTTTTAAATGTCAGATAAGGACCTTTATCTACTTTACCAGTTTCTAAATCCGCTGATGGATGCAGGCCCTTTTAAATTGGGTATTTCACACCATAATTAATAAATTTCTTCAAAATATGATTTAAATTTGCTATTTACTTTAGGTAGCGTGTTAAAACTTAGTTGTTTTTTTAGTTTTAGTTAAATAACATTAAAATATGCTATATTTTTACCATCCTAAAAACATTAAAATTAAAAACTTAAACTACCATAAAGTAGTATAGTATGTAGTGCCGTATAGTACTAAAAAGGCTGCGTTTCCTCACTGAAAGTCTATACTAAGCTTTTGAGCGAGATAAGAGCCAGTCCATTTCCACCAGACTGCCACAGAAGAGGGGACAATGTGCCTATTTGTCACCCTTATTCTATAAAAAAAGTTATATATAAAACTCAATACATTTCAGGCAACAGAAATAGTAAACGGCGTACCGCTAGTCAGTGACCTGACGTCAGCAGTAGCGACGGTGACGGTGACCATCAAGGATGTAAACGACGAGCCGCCTCGCTTCAACCGGCGGGAGTATCACGTCGACATTCCCGAGAGCTTGCCCGTCGGGACTCCGCTGCCCAACCTGGATATGTTGGTCACTGATACTGACCTTGTGAGTGGATTTGAGATTTAACTATTTTTTTATGTTTGAAAAATACAAACAACATTTAGTATAATATAGTATATAGATTATAGATACAAGATAGAGTGAGTACAAGTAACTCTTATTGAAAGTCAACTTTTACTCTGAAAGAAACCTATGTCCTGGAAAGAACTAGCAAATAACCTAGCGTAGTAGTATCACTAGATTGTGTTTGTATAATGATAAGACATTTTTTACGTGATAGAGGTACTCTTCAAGTATTATAACAATATCCCTCCCAACCTAATTTCGGTCACGGCGGTGTAAACCAACACGATCAAAGAGTGTTCAGGCGCAGTACCAAGACTGTTTTCGTGTTTCCGAGGCGAAACACCGCCAACTTCCCGACTCTGGGCTACTACTGAGATTTCTTGTCAGAAAGAGACGGTAACTGAATTCAACCTGACCCGAAATTCGAACTCGGGACACGCTAATCAGTTGCGTTTGCGACGACACACTCTTACGCTGTAGGTATAACAAATCATCAATTTTTTTAAGTGAAACCTTCGAAAACTCTTTAGAAACAATGTGATTTGAAACTATGAAACTAAAAAGAGACAAATATCTACGTGTATAGGATTTAAACTGCAATAGAGTGAGATAGAAGATACATAATACAGTATACAGTGTTTTTCTGAAGGTTCCACTTCTACAGCATGTGAACTGCGCACGTGTTTTTTTTTTTTGTGGGCCTTCTACGTGGTATTGTATACCTGGCGTAAACGAGATGGTTATATCGCCATTTATCAGAAGCCACATAATTGCGGTTTTATGAATTCACTCTGAATCGTCTTTTACGACACCCGCAGGACGGAATAGTGTGGCGGAATTTATGACACCATCACCACGAGGTAACTAGAATGCATAAATAAATTAGTATTGTGCTACTAATTTACTACTGTGTTTCTTGTTGTTAGTGGTGATAAAAGGGAGCCCCTTTTAACTGGTAATAAGAGTAAGACCTTAGTCCTCGGGGTGAGCGTGTCGGCATTTAGTTGTAGGTGCTAATAGGCCACAACAACCACTTACCATCAGGTCTCCATGATGATGTAATTATACTGTGGACTCACCTGCATTATTAATAAAAGAAAAATAGCAGCTTAATGCTGCTGTATTTCGTATGGTGAATGTAAAGTACTGAAAACACTTTTTATTGGAAACTATGCATTCTATGACATTTCCTCTGAATTTCTATTCTTAATCAATCTGATTTATACGTGGTAGAGGCACGCTGCAAGCTATATTATGGTAGCAGCACGAATAGGTTGGCTCGACCGGGGAAGGAACACGCTTTCACAGAATACCATCGTAAAATAGCAGCTTAGTACTGCTGTGTTTTGGTATGGTGAGTGTAGAGAACCGGAGACCCTTTTTTACTGGAAACGAGGCGTTCCATCTTAGTACTTCAGGTGTGACAACGCATCTGTATTTTGATTCTTAATCGAGGATAGATGTAGATGTCTATGGGCCACAGCATCCACTTATCATCAGGTGGACTGTGTGCTCGTTTGTCACCCTTATTCCATAAAAAATGTTTCAGGGTCTGAACTCTGTGTTCACTTTGCGCCTGTCCGACGAGATGGGTGCGTTCATTGTTGAGCCATCGGTGGCAACGGGAAGCGCTACAGTCACATTACGTCTCAACACCAGTCTGGACTATGAGGACCCTAATCAGAGGAAGTTTATTCTTGAGGTAAGATTTACGTAAAGAACGTGGAATCGTAAAGTGTGAGTATATGCAATAGTAACTTTATTCTTTAACTACCGATGGAAATCAGACTTATGCAAGCTTAGTTCAAGCAACCTGGATTTTGATTTTTCTCTCCCCTCCCGGTTCAAATACCACTGAAAGTTGTTATTTTTTTTTACTATATATTATAAATAATACTTTTTGAAAGTCAATCTTATGTTTAATTTAAAACTAGTTAAGAAATTCGGCCCCTAGCGGATCATTTTTACCGACTTCAAAAAGGAGGAGGTATTCAATTCAACTGTATGTTTTTTATGTGTGTTACCTCAGAACTTTTCTCTGAGTGAACCGATTTTGATAATTCTTTTTTTATATGAAAGCTGTTACTTCTTGTGTGGTCCAATATTAGTGGACCGTGGAATTGTGGTGTAATCAAGATCTGACCAGTAGTTTTTGAGTTATCCTTAATAATGCGTATTTAATTGACTGTTCTCATTTTAATTATATTGAAGTCGGTTGCACAAAATTTTATAATTTTACAACTTGTTTAAAGAACAGTTTTCATTTTAGAATTATGTGTTTTACACAATTAACTACGCAAAACTTTATTAGAAATAGCTTAGTGACCAATTCCTAGAAGTTATTATCTATACATAATATATGTATTATACGTGGTACAGCCACACGCTGCAGGTATATTATGGTAATAGCACGAATGGGTCGGCTCGACCGGAGAAGAACCACGCTCTCACAGACTACCAGCGTGAAACAGCAGCGTCATACTGCTATGTTTCATATGGTGAGTGTAGAGATCCCCTTTTTTACTGGAAACGAAGCATTCCATCTCAGTCGTCAGGTGTGACAACGCATTTACGTTTTGATTCTTAATCGAATATCAATGTAGATGTCTATGGGCCACAGCATCCACTTACCATCAGGTGGACTGTGTGCTCGTTTGTCACCCTTATTCTATAAAAAAAGTTCATATTATAAATAAAATGTGTCTGTCGTTAATATCGAAGTATCTACCTTTATTAATATTGGCTATTAATAGCTTCATTTTATCCCAAAAATATAAATATAATTATACGAGAAATCGTAAAACATGATTAAAAATGTTCTTTGTTTATTATTTTAAATCTAAATAACGTCACATTAGAGCCGATTTACACATTGACAAGTAAATTAGCGAGTTTAGTTACAATGCATTTGACAGTAAACGGTTAAGCTTAAGTGGACGGAGTAGCGTACGAATGTCCGCCACCCGCAAATAAACTCGCTCGTTCATACGAGCGAGTTTATTTGCGGGTGGCGGGGGACACGCGGGGGGAGGCTACACTTAGAAATTAGCTCGCCGAAAAATAGATCGGCCAGCTATCACGTTCAACTTGCTACTTAACTCAGTAATTGCCGTTTAAACGAGATTTTTTACTTAACTCCCCAGGTTCACAAGTTAACTCACTACTGTACTTATCGAAGTGTAAATCAGTAAGCCCAAGAATGAAGTAAAACATCCATATCAAAAAAAAAATAAAATTGAAAGCTATCACCGTCGCGGAATCCTATAATTAATACAAGTAGTAAAATTAGAAATTTTGTACAACCGACTTTAATGCGACCGAATCAATATATTCGAAGTCAATGAAATAATATAAATACACGAGAAGCACCAGCTTTCAGATAAAAGAATTATCAAAATCGGTTCATGCGAAAAAAAATTATGAGATAACACATATAAAAAAAAACTTACAGTGAAATTTAATACCTTCTCCCTTTTGAAGTCGGTAAAAATAGAATAGTACTAGAGTAACCACAAAATCAACATAGTAGAAACATACTACAGATATAAATAAATATATTATATATGAAAAGACAAGTTGCGTTCCACTCACTCATTCACTCACTCACTCACTCACTGTAATCACTCACTGACTGACTCATCAAACTCTTAAATCCAGAAAATTGAAATTTTGCACGAAGGTTTTTTTTATAGTATAGACAAAAAATAAGGCTTTTCGAAGTTCCTACGGGATAGCGAAGAAAGAGGATATGTTTTATATACTCATCTACGTTTTATGTTCTCTACCTAGGTATTTAAGGTTCAATTATATGTTTTGTTAACCATGTAGTGGCGGTGGAAGAATATCCACTACCCGTCCATCATCGTCATCCCATGGGTCATAAGAGGCGACACAGGGAAACTGATACATAGGATGGGGCGTTCGAGCCACGCTTCACCAACATCAAAACCCCAAGTTTCCCCCCCGGCACCGGGTCTCCCCTTTTCCTTCCACGGCCACAATGGGCAACAATATCTTCCTGATAAATGCTGAATAAAAATAAAAAGCTGCGGTTGCCAAGCCGCTTGTCAAGCGTGGCAGTTGTGGCAAATATCCCCCCTAACCCCCTATGAGGCTTTCTATGGTTTATGTTCAGCAGTAGACTTTAATAATGCTATTACACTATTCTATTCTAATTGCAGGTGATAGCAGAAGAGCTGCATACGTCGCCGCGTCTATCGTCTAAGGCCAGCGTGACCGTATCGCTGTGGGACGTGAACGACAACGCTCCTCAATTCCCGGAGGAACCGCACGTGGCAACAGTTCCCGAGGCCGCTCCCCCGGGAACACGGCTGACAGCATTGCGGGCCACCGACCGGGATACTGGCCGGTAAGCCTACATCACTCTTAAGGTGGTATATGTACATCTTGAGAATTGGTAAAGTAATACTGTGACTGAACTTCTCCTAAATTTTCGGTTTGAGATCAATAATCTCAGCATAGTTAGACAGATTGGTTTTAAAATATTATTATTATGTGTGACGCGCGGACGGCCGTACGTTATTATCCGTTCGGGCCCACTGAAAACCAGCGCTGTTGCTCCGGCGACAGCGTAAGCTAAGTGAGGTCCGTTTGTATGACGCAATCACAATACGAGAAACGATTTTTTTGTCTTTCTATTTTTTTTAAATTATAGTCCATAAGTATACATACTTTTAAATTGTTCTATCCGTCAAATTGTTGTTTTTTTTCCTTTTTTTGTTATAATGTTTATAATTGACGTGTCCACAAATGTTAAAATTTAAGTGCCTACTGATGTTTGAGGCGTGCTGCAATAAATCTTTCTTTCTTTCTTTCTTTTTTCTAAATAGCTGGACCGATTATAATGAAATTTTCCGTGTGATTAAGTTGATTTGAAAATTATTCAGATTCACTATTGGATTAGGTAGTTGGCATGTTGTCGAGATCCGGAAATCACCCGTGCCAAGCCGGGGCGAATTGCTAGTTGAAAACGTATAGTTATTTTTTTGATTCTTAATTCGTTCTCTTACAAACCATATTGAACCTCTAAAGTAGTATTCTCTGCTTACTTATTATACGTGGTAGAGCCACGCTACAGCCATATTATGGATGTAGCACGAATGGGTCGGCTCGACCGGGGAAGGACCACGCTCTCACAGAATATCAGCGTAAAATAGCAGCTTAATGCTGCTGTGTTTCGTATGGTGAGTGTAGAGATCTGGAGACCCTTTTTTGCTGAAAACGAGGAATTCCATCTTAGTCCTCAGGGGTGACAACGCATCTGAGTTTTGATTCCTAATCTAGGATAAATAGTTATCTACTCGTATGGGCCACAGAATACATATACCATGTATCATTTCTTTACTAAGTTTTAAAACATTTGCCTACCGCAGCAGTAAAACAAGAAGTGCCTAATGCAATTCTTACAAAGCAATGTTGCAATATCTAATACCAAAACTGATAAACGAGTTACCTACAACAGTTAAAGGCCAAATTACTAACTTATCTTTAGCATTACTAGCGTAAAATATAAAAAAATTAAATAAAAAAAAAAATTGTACAAAAAATGTCACCCGTGTGAATCTACAAACCCAAACGAGTTACTCTGGTTTTTGGAGTGAGAGGTGCATAATATGTGTTATGCGTGTTGATCGGTCAAATAGCGTGCGCAGTAATCACATCGCGCAATTAATGTGTGAATAGGTAGTTAAGAATGAATATTACTTAGTTCTGTTCGAGCGACAGATGTCGAATCGCAGTGTGCGGTAAAACCAATTCTGGTTTATGTCACACTGTCACTAAATGTATTTAGATTAGGTTTCACATGTAAATTATTTAAATAAATAAATAAATGTGGACTGTGTACTCGTTTGTCAACCGTACTCTTTAAAAAAAACACATAATAAAACACAAATTACGCCCAAATAGGATAGATGGAAATACAGGATGTAAGTGTAAACACCGTTATTCTTGAAACCAGTGGTTTGGTTTCACTTATAGAACTAATGTGATAGAAGAATGGTTGGATAGAAGATAGATGTAGATGTCTATGGGCCACAGCAACCCACTTACCATCAGGTGGACTGTGTGCTCATTTGTTACCCTTATTCTATAAAAAAAATGGTTGACTAGTACATTACGCCGCCTACGCATACTATAGCTACATCGTAGCTCTACCACGTGTAAAATTAATTCAAAAAATTCATTAGTCACTTCAGTTAAAAAAATGTTTAAAGCCATATTTAACAGCCAGTCATTATAATACTCCAGATTTGGAACCGAGGGTATAGTGTACCAGCTCTCCGGCAGTGGGTCGGAATTATTCCGCGTTGACAACAGAAGCGGTGTCATCACTATTGCTGAGTGCCCCACGCCTGGTCTTCCGCCTTGCTTGGACTTCGAGACCAGAAAGGACTATTTTCTACAGTATAAGGTATGTGTTGTTTTCTTTGTTCGGTGAAGAATTTGAACTATTGTCGTTTCGATTACGACTAGAGAATGGCCAACTTGCTTACATTTGCAATATACTCTTTTGAAACTATAATACTAATACTAATACTACCTATAAATTATATAAATGTCATTTAATATTTTCAAATAATATTTTATTATCAATGTAATTTATTTTGCTGCCATGGGCTTCATTTTGATTGATTGATATATGATTATCATTTTATTTTTATTTTTTAAAATTATAATAAATAAAAATCACGTGACAATAAACACTTCCGTTTCAAGGTTCTGAAGCTACCATTGAAAAGCCTTACAAGACTACTTTTCACGAAACTAATTTTCGTACTAACAACGTTGTCCGCTTCCCACACACACATATAAGCTTACCCCACGGCAAATCTCCCATTTTCCTTCAATGGCCAAAAGTTTATTAAAGTTTAAGATATCTAATAAAGGTTGTGTATGATGGACAAAGTTTGATTTTTCAGGCGACTGACGACGATGGAGCCGGTCAGATGAGCGTCGCGTCCTTGCAGATCTCTGTGACGGACTCCAACGACAACTCGCCCATCTTCCTCACGCCGGTCTACAAGGCATCCATCGATGAAGATGCTATCAAGTTCGAGCCTGAATTGCAGGTATGGTGATGTATTAGATTAAGGTCAGACAACTGTTTCTACTTGGTAGAGCCATGCTACAGCTACATTATCGATGTAGCATGAATGGGTCGTCTCGACTGGGGAATGATCACACTCTCACAAAATACCAGCGTAGAATAGCAACTTAATGCTGTGTTGCGTATGGTGAGTGTAGTGAACCGGATACGCCTTTCATTGGAAACGAGGCATTGTGATTATTAATTATTAAGGATAGATTTGGATGTATATATGTGGTAGAGCCATGCTGCAGTTATATAAGTAGTATAGTTGTAGCACGAATGGGTCTGCTCGACCGGGGAAGGACCACGCTCTCACAGAATACCAGCGTGAAATATTAGCTTAATGCTGCTGTGTTTCGTATGGTGAGTGTAGAGAACCGGAGACCCTTTTTACTGGAAACGAGGCATTCCATCTCAGTCCTCACGGGTGAACGATCTGATTTTGTGGGGGGGGGATTCTGGGTGAACTGTGTGCTCGTTTGTCACCCAATTCTATAAAAAAAATATGGGCTACAGCATTTAGTTACCATCAGGTGGTAAGTGAATGCCGTGAATCATTCTAATGCTATAAAAAAAAATAAGACAGTGTCCTTCAGACCGAATTTCGATCACGGCGTTCGGTCTCAACGGAGGCTACCATCTGCGCAGGACAGGGTTATAGTGTCTGAGAGTATATGCAAGCACAAGTGCACTCTGTTTCTTCACTCTCTCTTTCTCTCTCTCTCTCAGTCTGGTTGACGGTGACGGTTGTCCGAAACGACCGTAGAGAGATCAGCAGGAGATGGCAAAGACTAAGTGCTTTGGAAAGCGTATTCTCGTGCCTCGGAAGACATGAGAATGAAACACAGCCAACTTCCTAAATCCGGGCTGCTGCTGAGAATTTCTTGTCAGAAAAACCTGATGCTGGTTTTGACATTATACTGTTTTTTTATGCTGGTATATCACGGTGTTAATTTTTTATCTTGAAATTATATACATATTGTTGCGCGTCATAATTCATGCCTGGTACAGCTAACCTGGTAGTACTAGCGCCATCTGGTATCGATTAGCAGGACTAAATTCTAGAAAATTCCTTGCTAGAACTTTCTACACCTAGTCAGTCGGGACCGGTACTCGAACATTCTAGATGTTTCAGTAGTAGAGGCCATATATAAGGCCGGTTAAGACGGCGACCGGGAGAGTATTGAATTGGCGATACAAACGAAAACACAAGCGATACAACTGCGAACTAAAGTGATTAGTAGAGTACAATTGTGTGTTATTATTAGTGTGTTTTAAGTTGTAATTGGTTTTCTGTAATTAAAGTGTCAATTTTGGTAATTCAATTAGCAATTTTTATCGTCACGATCCCCTAGCTCGTAACAATATACAGATAAACACTCACGTCCGTCACCCAGATTTCCAATCGTCATAATCCTGACACACCTCATCCTGACTTCCTTGTTGAAGCCTTTTTTACGTCCGCATACTTACGCATACTCGCTCTTATTTATTGTAATAAATGTCTGACTTACTAACACGCGTATTTTTCCAGGTGCAAGCCCGTGACGTTGACGTCTCATCTGACATCCGCTATTCCATCATCTATCCGCCTCGCAACCCGTTCTGGATAGATCCTCAAACCGGGAAGATATCCGTCCGAGGTGAAATTGGCTCCGTCAACTCCACAGAGGACAACCGCATTGTGCTTACAATATTGGTGAGTATTTTTACTAAACATATTTAAAATTAAAGTGTCTGGTACTGTAATATAGAAATTACTGTTTTTTTATCAAGCAGCGTTTGTATGTATGCTATTCAGACATAATGACTAACTTTTGTAAAACTTTTGTATTTTGTCTCTTTCCGAGCTTATCTTCATAATAGCTGAACCGATAGTGATGAAACTTTAAGAACTGGTAGAGCCATGCAATTCCAGGAGGTATCTAAGCTATACGCATTTTACACGGCTATCCATCGCCAGTTACGAGTATTTTTTACCGACTTTAAAAAAGAGAAGGTATTCAATTCGACTGTATGTTTCTTTTTTTTATGTGTCACCTCATAACTTTTCGATTTTGATGATTTCTTTTTTATCTGAACGCTGGGGCTTATCGTGTGGTCCCATATAAATTTGATTAAGATTTGACTTATATCATTAGACGCGACAAAGGGACACTTAGGTCACAGGATTAGCAGCGTACTCCTGATGACAGGTAAATAAAAAACTGTCACAGTATATTTGTTACACGAATGGATCGGCCCGACCGGGGCAGGACCACGCTCTCATGGAATAACAGCGTAAAATAGTAGCTTAATGCTACTGTGTTTCGTATGGTGAGTGTAGAGAACCGGAGACCCTTTTTAGTGAAAATGAGGCATTCCATCTTAGTCCTCAGGGGTAACATATGCATATGCAATGAGGACAAAGTTCACTTGACGGTAAGTGGATGCTGTGGCCCATTCACATTATTCAAGAATCAAAATGCAGATGCGTTGCCAACCCTTGAGAAATAAGACTGAATGCCTCGTTTACAATAAAAAGGCTCTCCAGTTCCCTACACTCACCATACGAAACCAGCAGCATTAAGCAGCTATTTTACGCTGGTATTCTGTGAGAGCGTGGTCCTTCCCCGGTTGATCCGACACAAGCGTGTAAAGTTACTATACTCGTAATATATATGTATAGTATGGCTTTACTACGTCTAACGTTAAGTTTCAAAGCTGTAACGATATACATTCATTTTTCGTAGGCAACCGACGGAGTCCATAATGCGACTTGCACTGTGGAAATTACCATCCGCGATGTGAACAATCACGCGCCAGTCTTCGATACCGACAGATATGATGCTGAAATCGCCGAAGATGTTCAAATTGGTAAGTTTTCTTTTACCAGAAGTTTTCTTCTTCACATGTCTTCTTTGTAAAATCCGCTATCACTAGATATTACTCCGGATCGATACGTCTTAGGATAATTTTTACTTATAAGAAATGAGTCTTCTCTTTTTATACGCGCAATTCTCAGATGCATTGCTGTTTGCTTGTATTGAAGTTGTACATGGGCGACGGTAGTCATTTACCAGAGTCGGATGCTTATTGGCCCTCTCTTCTTTAAAACACACACACGCGCTCTCGCGCGTGCCACACGCATTCACATAAACACGCACAGACAGTCACATACACACGAGCGTGTGTGTGTGCACACTCACTCGCGCACGTCCACGTACATACTCATACGCGTACACACACGCGCACATATACGCACATGCACGCACACGCACACAGTCGGGAGTTCCATAGCTTAGGCTATCCTAGTTCGTTCCCCCATAAATTTTATTTTTTTAAAGAAAATGTGGCCGCAAATTATACTAAGTGTAATATATAATACAACAGAGGTTTATTTTAGCCGACTTCGGAAAGTGAGGTTCTAGTCTACTGTATATTTTTGTATATACCTACTTAATATATCACGAGATTTCTTCGTCAGTGAAATTTAATAATGGGACAGATTTTAATGATTCTATTTTTATACCTATAGCTAATTATTTCCACATAATAGCTTGTGAAGTCAGGGCTTTAATCCACCTACATATTATGACATAAAACAGGGTTAACAGGCTTGGGCATAACACAGCTTAGAACTTAAGCTGTTTTGTAGAAATTACTTATTTTCCTTAATTCCATAAAGTACTGCTTTCACTTTTTATCAAAAGCTTATTTTTTATTATTTTGAGGAATATTGTTGTGAACAGGAACTGAAGTAGCGGCAGTTAGAGCTACGGATCTGGACAGCGGTGTCAACTCGCAGCTTCAGTACGCGATACAGCGCGGCGCTCTCGACGCTTTCCGCGTGGAGCCCGACAGCGGGGTGGTCACCGTCGCCGCCAAACTGGACTACGACAAGCGGAACACCTACCGCATACAGATCGTCGCTACGGATATGGGTTTGTAACGGACTTTGTTGTATCTGGGACTTCATTAACTGGTGTAGTGGTTGTAATCACGTCTCTTGATCATGTGGTCTTGGTTTCGAATCGTGCCAAAATTTAGTTAGTGGGTTTTACTGTCAAGAAGTTATCATTAGTAGCCGCAAGTCAGAAATTTGGCGAAGTTACACCCGTTCCCGAAAACACGTCAAAGCAGTTAGTCCTGCGCCTGATCTCTCCGATCGTGACGGGTTTCCTTCTCATCGGACTGTGAGAGTAAAGAAATAGAGAGTGCACATGTACTTGCGCATAGAATGGAACAAAATAGAAAGATTTTCATTCAATATTAATATATTATATGTGGTAGAGCCACGTTGCAGCTATATTATGGTTGTAGCACGAATGGGTCGGCTCGACCGGGGAAGGACTACGCTTTCACAGAATACCAGCGTAAAATAGCAGCTTAGTACTGCTGTATTTCGTATGGTGAGTGTAGAGAACCGGAGACCCTTTTTACTGGAAACGAGGCGTTCTATCTTAGTCTTCAGGGGTGACAACGCATCTGTGTTTTGATTCTTAATCGAGGATAGATGTAGATGTCTATGGGCCACAGCATCCACTTACCATCAAGTGGACTGTGTGCTCGTTTGTCACCCATATTCTATAAAAAAATATAGATTATTACTTAATACTTAATGAAAGTAATTTTTTTATTTACCAATGCTAGCAAGAAACCCAGCGGGATTATTTTTATAAAATATATCACTGCAATAATTTTGTACAATTTTTAAGTTAATTTTAATAAAACCCGCATGGTGGCGGTTACCTCAGTACCAGGGGTCATTTCGTAATATTATTATAATAACTCTTTTTGTACAATTTTTCTTTTATACTTGTTTATTACAAACTGAAAATTTACTGGGATTTTGTTGTAAAAGCGTATACGTTGCCCGGTAAATGAATTACTAATTCTGTGGAGTTAAGTTACTGGTATTACAAGCTTATGTTTATTCCTAGTGTTTAAAGTATGAACATCTTTATCATACACTTGGATACTATTATATTCTGTGCAAGCTAATCTCTGTTGAAACTGGCTGCCGTGGACATTATTATTATTATGGAGTATCTATATAGTTTTCTCATCTGGTTGGGTTCTAAAAATATATAATTATAAATGAGAATGAAAAGATAAATATACATAAATATCTATAAAATAAAATAAATATAACAATAACAAACAAAAATACATAAATAAATAAAATCCCAATGAGATGGTAGCCCTCGGCAGGGGAGACCAAACAGCCGAGGGTTAGGAGGAAAGGGAAAGAAACCGGCGGACGATGCGGGCGGTATCGAGGAGCACCGCCTTCTGCATTTGAGCCCGGAGCGGTCCGTCACGGAGTCCCAGTCGCTGACTGGGATTAGCTTATTATTTTTATTGTTAAATCTGTATTCATGTGTGTTCAAAATGTCACCACATAAGCTTTACATCAATCTCCAGGAATCCCAAGTCTAACTGGCACCACGGAGCTAACGGTCCACGTTATCAACGTGAATGATAAGAAACCCAGCTTCACACCCAGTGTACAGAGAGCCGAAGTATCAGCTGATGCCGAGCCGGGCACCGTCCTGCACAAACTGGTCGCCATCGACCCGGATATATCGGACAGCAGCCAACTGCTGTTCGAACTGACGCACGATAAGCCCGTACGAGCGGTCGACATCAATGGAAAAGAGGTAAGTACATTCCGTTGCTACTTTTTCCAAATTTTAAGATTAATCGTCGGATGTATGAGCCCTCACTCAACAAGCTACTTAATATTTATAAAACTAGGTTAGCTAAGATGGTGTTTCTTTGGCAATCAGCTAAAAATGCAGATAGAATTGTCAAAACACTCTTATGTGGCATGGATGAACTCTTAATTATTGATTGCATAAAACCACTAATACGGATTTTATCGCGTCTAATTAACTTTTTTTTTGATTCCCGTCGTTTCGGGTGCTCTACGGCACCCATGGTCACGGAGGACCGATATGTTTGACGTCCCAATGCCATAGTTAGCCCGGCTATGTTCGGTTTACCAATATTAATTTTTGGTCCGATCTACGCAGAACGAGCTTAAAGTATCTTAAGTCTTGCAGTGGTATGTTTGGGGTTTGGGTTTAATTTTGTCAATTATGGGATCCCAAGCAGATGGCAGCACCCATCCATCTTCTCTATTGAAATTAAGATAATTTTTAATTTCTATAAACTCGCGTATCATCCATAGTAGGAATCGGAATCTCTTAATTGGTTTGAATTGCATTTAAATACGTAGTACGTGGTATCTCAGATGGTTAACGCTCGCTGTAAATATAACAGAACGCGAGTTGCCCGGGTTCGATCCCCGCCGGCACCAATGAAATTGTTAATTGCAATTTTAAGTGCTGATTTACCACGAGCTCGGCGGTGAAGGAAAACATCGTGAGAAAACCTGCATGTCTGAGAAATAAGATAAAAAATATATTTCGAAGACAGGCGAAGTTCGCCAACACGCATTGGGGTAGCACGGCGGACACTTCCTTGCCCTAAAACCCTCTTAGAAATGAGGGGAGGCCTGTGCCCAGCATTGGGACGTATATAGGCTGTAACTTTACGTAAAATTGATTTGATTTTGAGTATTAAATGTCTGCGCAACATTTCCACTAATAGTAAGCTATTAGTGGAAATGTTGAAACATGTTAGTAGAAACGGGTGATTTCTGGATATTGGCAACAGTGCGACATACAGGCTCCAATTATAGCTAAGAATGATCGAGATACAATTTATCAAAATCGGTCAGGCCGTTTTTGAGGGGAAGAATTACGAACCCACACATACCGAAATCTATACTATAGTAAAACTCTAAAACGATGTCTGTCTGAACACGAATCACGCAAAAACCTGTGAACTGATTTGGAAGGGACTTACTGGCAGATAGCTGGTGTTATATGGATTAACTTAGGCTACTTTTATCTAAGTTTTCCGCGCTAAAAAAACTCCACGCTTGCAAAGCGCGGAGAACAGCTAATTTTAAATAAAGATGTATTTGTTATTCCTTATGTCGCCTTATTCTCACTTAAACTCGCATCAGATTTCATTATAGTATCTACCCGTGCTCAGAGGAATTGTTTGTACTAATTCTAGCCGCTTAATTTCACCATCGCACATCGCGACAAAACTCGAGATATCATCCATACCTTGTGGGGATATGATACATACATCCTTTTTGAATCGACTACCACCAACAACTTTTCTGGACCGATACCGAGTTAGGAACCTTCAAGAAAATAGCATATTCTTTTTTTAAAGGCCGGCAACACATCTGCAATTCCCCTGGTATTGCAGTTGTTCATGAAAGGCGGTAATAACTTACTATCAGGTGAACCTTATGCTCGTTTGCCTCCTCTCATAAAAAAAAAACAAGTTAAACAAGTACTCCGATAGTGATGTTAATCTCAAGTTATTATGTCTCTAAGACGCATCGAGATACTATTATCTTCGACTCTTTGCGGGCTCGAGTTGCCGTCTAAATTTCCCGAAAAAGTGACGCATCAACATATTGTGAAGAAGTTTTTAAACTAATTATTATAAAAGATAATTTCTTATTACTTGGCACAGGCAAAAGTACAACCGTGCGAGTCCGTTACCAAAGAAGAAAAAGCTCTACTTAGATTGTATGACATACTTTTGCGCCACATTTTTGCCACATTCATCCCATTTAACCCTTGTGTTGTTTTATATGGATGTTATGTATAGTTGGTGGATGAAAATATGAATGGTTCTAACTTATCATAGTTTTACTTGTCCCCGTTCGCATATTAAATAATAATCCATTAGAACTTACAGTCATCATTTGACTCTACTACAGGTGCCAGAAGAAGGCATCTTCGGGTCTTGGTTCGAAGTTCGAACGAACGGCGAGGTAGCCGTTGCCCAGCAGCTGCAGAGGAGTCTCGCGGCCGTGCTGACGCTTCCCGTAGCTGTCACGGACAACTCTGCGCCCACTCTTCAACGGACTGAAGGTAACTGTTATACTTGCTCTCTTTTTTTCGTGCTAAGGGCCGTGAGCGCGAATCCACCACGAGATAAATATATAATAGAATAGAATCATTTTTATTCAATATTGATTACAAGTAATTTTTGTTGAAAGTAATTTTTTACTTTTACTACCGGTTCAGTCCTGGGAAGCAGCAGCAAGAAACCCAGCGGGACATTATTTTTACTATTTAAAAAAAAGAACACTATAATCAGTTAATACAAGTATGTTACACAATAATGCAAATTAGAAATAGCTTGGTAGCGATCACCTCATTCCCAGGGGTTTAAATATGTATTAATTAACATTATAACAATCCTCAATTGTTCCGGGTTTGGATATTTGTTCTTGTACTATTTGTGTATATAAACTGCGCTTACAGATCACAGCGACAAAAGAATTAATTTTTGTTTTAAAACATTACTGTTAAAATATCTTTCTTTCGTCTCTATAATATGTTTTGTTCCAGGGGAATTGATAATAACAATAGTTGACGTGAACCGCTACGGGCCTGTGTTCACGGAACCCGCGTATTTAGAGAAGATTCTAGAAGAGCAGCCCGTGGGGACAGTGCTTAACACTTACAGCGCGACCGACAGGGAGACGCCGATATCCGACATTATTATATACCCACCGAGTCCTTACTTCCAAATCGACAATGTAACGGGTATGTATTGATAATGATTTCTTTTTTTTTGTGCATTGAAATATTATGTACTTACGTACTAGAACAGCTATCTCAAACAAAAAATGTGCGCTACTCTGTGTTCGCGCGGTTGGTTTTTTTATCATAGAATAAACATAAGTAGAACGACCCGTAGGTAATAATGGATTGTATTGTTAAATAGGTAAATTATATCGAGAATAATATTTAAATTTTGTCATTTATTTTGTATATTATATTTGCTTATTTAATATAATATTAGATAATATTATATCATAATTACATTTTAATGATATTTTTGTCTGAATATTTTAAAAGGTATCTAAGTCAAATATAAAAAAAACATTCTACATGCATGTTTAACAAAACTTATTAACATAACATTTAAATTACAAATATATTTATTTAAATTAATAAAGTCGTTCATAAATGCTGGGCTCGCGAGAGTTAAAAATGGGCGAATTTATACCACTTTGACTTTGATGTGGAAACCTAAAAATAAAATAAAAGAATAATAAGCAGATTTAAACATGAAAAATTTTGCCAAATTATAATAACTTATATATGTTCCTACAAAAAAAATGTATATAATAATATATTCGTCCTATACTTAAGTACCCACAGAAATGTCGCATCCGAACATATTAATTTCATAATCTATATTCCATGACACGAGATGGCGTCTTAGGAATAATTTGTTTTATTATTAGTACATAATACGTTTTTATTGATTAAGTATCTTATTAATCGATGAAAAGTAATTCCTTGGTTTTTACTGACATTTCTTGAATTATTTGTGCAATATCTAAGTACACACGACGTAATATTTTTATCAAGAGATTTTTTTTAATCAACACAACACGTGACAACTCTATAAGCGCCTAGCGAGTGACTGATCAAAGTGCGGTGTATGCACCGCAGTTGAGTGGAATGGGGGGCCTGCAATAAAACAAAATTTGTGTTCATTGAAATTTTTGGGGTCGCATAAATTTTTTGGGTCCTCTTTGCGTCTGCGTGCGTTATATCCGTGGGACTAAGATGGAATTCTCGGTTCGGGTAAGTGTGGTCCTTCCCCGGTCGAGTCGACCCATTCGTGCTACGACTATACTACTAATATAACTGCAGCATGGCTGTACACGTAGCTACCGATTTCATTCCTTCAAAATTATGTTTTCAAACCATAAACAATATCATTTTTTGATAAACTATGGACATTAAGATATTTCATTTTCATTAGTCAACTAGCTTGTGCCCGCGGCTCCGTCCGAGAAAATAAAGCGTTCTTATTCATTTCCTCGTGGCAACTTATTTTTTACTTATTAACTTTTTCAGTGTTTTTATATTATTTCTTATTATGAAAATAACGACTAGCAAGGATATATTTTAAAAATCTATGGTGCGTAAGTAAATTGTATTATGGTCTATAAAAAGTCGACTCTTAAAAAAAGTCGATTTTAGTCAAAATAATACATAATAATCTCTAAATCATGAAATGACCGCAAAAAAGTTATTTATGTGATGGAACCACGCTGCAGCTATATTATAGTTATAGCACGAATGGGTCGGCTCGACCGGGGAAGGACCTCGCTCTCACAAAATACCAGCGTAAAATAGCAGCATAATGCTGTTGTGTTTCTTATGGTGAGTGTAGAGATCCGGAGACCCTTTGCACTGGAAACGATGCATACCACCTTACTCTCCAGGGGTGATTACGTATCTGTATTTAAAATTTTAATTAATAATACATAAAGACGGATATGGCCAAGCATCCACTTTCCATCAGGTGAAATGTGTCCTCATTTATCACCCTTATTCTATAAAAACAGGCCTCCTCCACCAACTGCCTCATAGTGGGGATAGTTACCACGCATGGCAGGCGGAGTGACAACTGTAGTGTTTCATTAATTTGAGTTGTTATCAGGAAGATGCTATTGTTTTCCATGTTGTGTTTTACTTTTCTCAGCCGCTTCTTACGACAGGATGGTATGGGGCAGTATATAAACTTAGGCCGCTACTACATAATGTAAACACTAACCCTCTTATTCATAAAAATACGACGGGTTGCACTCCGGAAGTGCCGGCAGAAGTGAAAACTTGAATATTAACGTTGTGCATTTTTGATATTTTGAAATGGTTAGGGAATAATTTTGCACGAATTGCTTTAATTATCAATATAAAAGTACTATCATTTATGTGGTAGAATAATTTATTGCGCTATCGTACACAAACATGACAATTTATATTACATTCGCGCAAGCGCCCTGCGCCGCCTAAACGAAACAGCAGGTGCAGGCATACATTTTGCGGCGCCGTAGAAAGAGAGGGGGATACTTCCTCTCCTACTCGATTTTCGATCAGGTCACGTGTCCTGACGCGAGTTTAACATTTTTTACTTATTACAAAAAAAGTGTACAACACCGCTAAAGAAGTTTTCACTTCAAAAAATTAAACCCTTGATTAGTTAAATTGTGTTTAGTCTCATTCTTACATTTGCGAGACATATGTTGCTAGAAAGTGACAAAACACTATTTAACTAATCAAATGTTTAAAATGATTATGAATAGGAGGTTAATTGCATTTATTAAATTAGGTACGCAAAATGTCGATAATATCATGTAAATTAACTGTCCGCGCCACAGTAGTAAAATTCGCATTTTTTTTAATTTATACTTTTGATAATCGTAGCTTTTTTTCACAGGCGTAGTCAAAATAGCGCAACGTATCGACTATGAAAAGGTGAAACATATAAATTTCACGCTGGTGGCGTTTGACTCGGGCGTTCCCCAGCGCTCCACTTCTGCTTCCGTGTCGGTGGAGGTGGTCAACATCAACGACGAGGAGCCACTGTTCGCAGCTGTTGCATATGATGCTACGGTCAAAGAAAACTCACCAGCTACCACCAGTGTGGTTACCGTCACCGCTGTCGATAAGGATGAAGGTTGATCTACCAAGTTTTATTAAGAGACTTGTTTTCAATGATAATGAATGAAATTTAACGCAGTACGCATTGTTACGATATTAATTCAGGTTCCTTTTTAATATTTAATTTTATCCCTATACTTTTATCTTTATTACGAGTTGCAGAGTTAAGTATAACTAATGGCAACCCAGTGGTCGAAATTCGATCTTAATTTATTAAACTTTTAAATTTGAACGTCGTTGTGGTTTTCTTGTCAAAGAGTATTCTATTATGGTCTATAAAATTCCACTGCTGAACATAGGTTTCCCCCATAGATTGCCTCATATGGAGATTTTACCATAGTTGCCACGCTTGGTATGCTAGTTGGCAACCGCAACTTTTTTAATTTTCGATTGTTATCAGGAAGATGCGGCAGCCCATCTCTTGTTCCTGTTTCCCTCTGTCGCTTTTTACGGCACCCACATTGGGTAGTGGATATTTTAACATTGTCACTACACGGTGTAAAGAGTAAAGTATGATTTAAATTCCAGTGGATTATATTTCATTTTTGATAAGGTACAAAATCCGAAAACAATTTTGAGATTGTATGATACAAAGCTTATATAAATTATGTAATTTTTTAATACGTAAATTTTCGAGTTATTTTACATTATTTGTTGGCAACATAATGACAATGACAACCTCTTCATTGTGCGACTGTTTGACCACAGACTATAAACATTTACATTGACAGTATAAATGTAGAATGTTTTATTTTATTTATGAAAATAATTTGTAACGCATGTTGTTTATAAATTTTAGATTTCTCCTACCTAAACCCTAATTTTACAAAAAAAAACTTATAATTTATTGTTATTTTAAGACCAATATCTAAACATAAATACGTTTTAAACAAGTATTTGTTCACAGGTGAATACGGTGATGTAACGTACAGTATATCTGGGGACCTCTCTAATATGTTCTCTATCAACTCGACTACCGGCGTCATCTCGGTCGCCGATGGTCCACTGATAGACCGAGAGAATATATCCGATATCTACCTACGAGCTATAGCTAGTGATAACGCGCCACCGCACATTAGGAAGACTACGAGTGTACCTGTAAGTAAAAAGACAAATAGAATAAGGTACGTGAGTGAAACATGTTCACCTTAAGCTTTGCCGCCCTGTAAAACCAAAACTAGGAGGAGGACAGAGTAAAAAAATACAACGTCGTATACATTAACTAATATATTGAGAAAAAAAACAAGCTTTTGCAATAATTAGGATTAATTCGAAAATCAACTTTTTTATGTTTCCTCTTAATGATCATATTTACTACATATACTGTCAACAGTCAAAATGGTGTCGATAAAGCAGCGCTCTTTTGACCTTTTATTAACTGGTTGACTTATAAACAGCTATCGTGTCACAAAGACATCTATGCAAACAAGGCTGTAGTTTTTGATATAACTCAAAGTGAACATATTAACTGAACAACCATATTAACCTCACCTATGCTAATTCTGAACCTGTTATACTTCCTTGTGGTACTCTACGCGACACTCTCATTATGATATTATAATATTTATTGTACATACTATGATACAAAAGTTATTTTATTCCAGGTCCATATCAAAGTCTTAGACGAGAACGATAACCCGCCAATCTTCAGTCAGAATGTATACAAGAGCACGATTGCGGAAAACCTACAGCTAAACCCTCCTGCCGCCATATTGCAGGTGTTGGCTGAAGATAGAGATGAGGGGGTGAATGGGAAAGTGGAATACACTATTGAGGAGCAGAGTGAGCCTGGTAATTTTCTTTTAAGATTAAACACGTGCTCGTTAAAATATATGAACATTTTCAAATGATTGAATTGAATTGGTAATGGGCCGGCAAATAGCTCGAGGAACCGACAACCGATGGGGAAGAAAGGTTCTCGAGTGGTAGCGTCCCGATGGGGATGAAAGATTCTTGAGTGACAGCCTCGTACCGGTAGGCAAATTGGAGGACGGCCCTCAACTAGATGGAGTTAAGACCTGGTAAGACATGCAGGAAGCCAATGGATGTAGATGATTCAGGACTGTGCTTTGTGGTATTCCTTGGAAGATCCTTGTTCAGCAGTGGACTTGTGAAAGGCTGTAAAGATATTGATGATGTGTATGATCGAATTGAAAAATGTGGTGACGAAGCTGCGAAATATCTGTTGCATAAAGTCGTTTCTTTTTGTTTTGCTTAAGTTAATGTCCAGAATAGGACTGCTTCTGATAGTATGTTGACAAAGCATGGAGTTAACGTTTTTTCTCCTTCCTCAGACCCTTTTTCAAAAGCTCTTTCATTAGTCTATGGACTTAGAGTGATAATTCTGTCTTGCTGTTTTGTTTCTTTATTTAACTGTAAAATATATTTCACCAGCCTGTAACTGTCCACTGCTAGACATGAACCTGTGTAATAGTTTTTCTTACCTGGTTAAAGCACTCTGTAGTAGGCATGTGTCAATTGTGAATGATTCGTTCATTTACCTGCGTAAAAGTATTGATGATTGCAATCATATTTTTTGTACGATCCGGTAAAAACGATGGATAGCATCTTTACAACCTGTGACCTATGATTAACTCTGCACGAACTGTGAACGTAAAAGTAATTCATGAATAGGTTTTTTTATTTATTATTTAAAAAAGTTGTGATTGTCACTTCGACCAATCCATACTAGTATTACAAGGCAGAATGTGAACACATGAAAACTCAAACTCAGACGAGTTTGAGTTTTCATAGAAACAATTGCAAAATGATGTGCATGTTGTAAAAGCATAATATATGAGATACAAAAGGTTTCATTTATGAAATAGTAAATATTCAAAATACATACATACATAAACACTCACGCCTGTCACCCAGAGGGGTAGGCAGAGACTACAGACTTCCATTTGGCACGATCCTGACACACCTCTCGCCTCCTTCACATCCATACACCTACGCATACATGCTCGTCGGTTAAGGGTACTCCTAATTTGGCCCGTTTTCAATAAATCGCCAATTTGGTCGATAAATTTTCGCCTAGGACGTTCCTTTCCATATTTCTTTTATTCAAAATATTAAATCATTCACACCAAGTAAAGTTTAGGACACTATGCAATAAATAAATAAATAGAAAAATAAAGTATCTAATTCTATTCTATCGAAACCAAAGGACCTGCGCTCGCGATCCTCCACTAACCGAAGAAATAATAATGACCTAAGACTGACAGATTCGAGCGGGTCTTACAGATCACAGTGTACTAAAACCCGAAATGAAATGATCCGGTTCGTATTACGAATCAATATTTGAACGATCGGGTCACTAGGAATAAATGAGACCATAAGAGGCTTTTTACATTTATCATTGTCGACTATTGTGATAACTACTTCACATAATATCGTGATGAATTGGATGTACACGACGAAAGAAATGTTAATCAATAAATTTTATTTTCATTTCTCAGGCACCTTCATAGTGGAACCATGGAATGGCATCATTTACCCAGCTAAACCAGTCAGAGGCAATTCCACTTACCAGTTGACGGTCCGAGCGTCAGATGGTGTCCATTTTGACCGGGCTAGAGTCGATATCGCAGTGCTTAGTGTGAACCGACATAAACCCGTGTTTGTACAGCCTCCGCCTGATCAGCGACAGTTGGAGATACCAGAGGTAAGTAGTAAAGATGTTTTTATTTCCGTAAGAGTATTATGTGCTGCTACCACGGCACATGTTTGGTTTTGGAGATGGTGGTTTAAAGCTGGGATCTGATAGGTGTGGCACTGCTGTCAAATCAATAATACTTTTTATATTTGTGGGCCATTATGATTCATATTTACTATTATGTTGGTTTAGTATTTTAATACTAGAATATCACTAAATTTGGACCTGATAGGTAGCACTGCGATCAAGTTATTGTTACGAGCTTAGGGTTCGTGACAATAAAAACTGCCGATTGAATTACCAAAATTGACACTTTAATTACCGAAAACCAATTAAAACTTAAATCACACCAATAATTATTCAGACTTAACACTTTAGTTCACTTTATTTCACTCCGAAAGCTTCGCTCGTATCGCCGATTCAATACTGCCCCGGTGGCGGGCTTCAACGCCTTTATATACGCCTTTTTCACCGATACATCCAGAATATTCCAGCAAATACCGGCTCCCGGTCGACCATGTGCAGAAAGTTCGAGTGTGGAGCTTTCCAGAAAGCTTAGTTCTTCTATTCGATAATAGATGGCGCTGTTGGTTGAAAGTTCAGTCATGGCATTTTCTGGAAAGTTCTCGCTCTGTTCCCCGACACTAAATGACGCTAGTGCCAGGTATCAGACATCAACTTAGGCGCGCAACATTATTAATAAATTAATAAAACTTTATATTTACACTGTAAAAAGTTAGGAGTGAATCACATCACGCGGATATTCTCATTCTAAGTTTATCACGCAAAGAAACCCCGAGCATAGCCCTCTTCATAGCTCGCTGAGCGATCTTGAGTTTCTTCATACGGTCAGCGGTGAAGGAACACGTCTCAGATCCATAGGTGATCAAGGTGGCAGGACGCACTGGTTGTACAATCTAGTTTTGAGATATGCCTGACGAGAAGATGTGTCGTAACCTCTCAAACGTTGCCCAGCTGAGTTGAATCCGTCCATTGACTTGAAGTTGGACTTACCTAGTAGGACTTTTGGTAAAGATACACCAGAATCAAAGGCTTTGTCATAGTCTAGATTCTAGACTTCTGTACATTTGCCGAAAGTTATGTATGTGGTCTATGGTACTAAAGCCTTTTCGGAAACCGGCTTGTACGGAAGGATGGAAGTAGTTAAGTCTGCGTGCAAGGCCATTCGTAGTGACTCTGGAAAACAGCACATAGACGCAGCCTTTCTTGAAGAACAAGACCACCACATTTCTGTTCCACGCCTCCGGACTAGTGTCACTATAGAGGACAGAATTGAAGAGCTTATGGTGGACTTTAAGTATCGGTTTTCCACTCGCTTTCATAAGCTCTGCTGTAATTCCTTCTACTCCCGGGACCGTTTTAAGGTGTTGGAGAGTTCTATTAGAGTTCTGAACTCGCTCAAACTAACATTCGGGCTATCATCGGAATAGTATCGGATAATACTTGCTCTTGGATCGGTACTCACACTTGCTTGTGGCTCCAACGATGTCGTGTACAGCTGCCCATAGAACCTCTCAATCTCACTCAAAATCTCAGGTGTCACGGAAACGATGCTGCCACATTTGGCCTTCAGCTTGGCTCTTTCTCGCAGACAGATCTCTGGCAAAGACTTTAGAGCCCCGTTTCCGCTCGATTACTTCTTCAATACGAGTTGTATTGAAGTTACCTAAGTCCCGCCGCATGCATTTGGAGATCTGTCTGTTCAGTTACAAATGCAAATACAAATGCAGTGCAAATAAATAATTATGAATTATGAATTACCTGTGTGCTGATAACTGAGGCTTCATCTCCCGTCTAACAGCTATGAAATTAAGAGTGTAATCGGAAAGTTTTTGTGTTCTTCTGTGATGGGTCTTACAGAACTTAGCTCCGATCGCATGGACAGTTTCCACAAGCTTGTCATTCATATTGTCCACTTCATTGCAGTCTTTGAATCACTAAAAACGATTTTATGCTTACTGTAAAATATTTAGAACGGAAACACTATAAGAAGAGAAGCGGGAATTAAATGAGCAAGGCATTTGAACTAGCCAAGAGTACTGACTACGCCAATTAACGGGCATAGAGCATAAACTGATGAAGATTCACTTGATATTTTTGGGAGGATTTTTAGAGCAGGCAAGAGTGCGCTGCGCTGCCACAATTCATGTTGGTGGACTTCACATATATCCTCGATATATGTTTTTAATTTCTTCAGTGGTTCCAGAACGTGCTTTTGCCCAGCCTACTAGAGTCTTCTGTAATATTCATGGATAATGCCTCCTATCACTCGTTTCAAATACAGAAACCACCTATCCAAGCTAATGAAAAAGAAGAAATGGTGGCTTGGTTACAAGCAAAAGGCATTAACGCAAATATGCAGATGCTAAAACCAGAGCTAATTAAATTAGTTAAGGAAAATAAAGCAGCAAATGTGCGATACGAAATCGATGAACTGGCTCTGGAGTACGGTCATCGCGTTCTAAGAATTCCACCGTATCATTGTCAATATAACGCGATTGAGCTAATCTGGGCTCAAATAAAAGGTTATGCCGCCCGCCACGATACTTACCCGCCATTCAGCACGAAAAAGATGATGACCCTATTAAAAGAAACCTGCGGGGAAGTCACAAGAGATGACTGGGCAAAGGTTGTTGAGAAGACTAAAAACCTGATTGTGGAACATTTTGACCGAGATATCAGGATTGATTCTGTTATTGATAATAATATAATTATACATGTAGGCGAAGATGATGATGAAGACACCACCTCCTCAAGCGAATCGGAGTCTGATTAATATTCTGTACGCACATTCAATTCAATGTACTTTATTGCATAGAAATACAGATTGTAACTTTGTAACAAAGAATAAATAAAACAATTTTATTATATTAATATTACCTTTTTTTTGGTTTCCACTTAAATTACTAAAATATAAATTTTAAGTGATTACGCCAATTTAAAAAGAAAATAATATTAAAAATAACGCGGCGGGAACGGTAACGAACTCAGTGTTATGTTGTGCCCATCACTAGTCGTGATTAACTGATAGGTGTCAGGAACGCATTCTCTGAACGGCCGAACTATAACAGCTGCGCACTTAATAAATTATCATCAATATTACCATCATAAGAGCCCATCATTGTGTGTGTGACAAAATGTTCTATAATGATATAACTACCATTGCATATATAGCAATTAGTATAGAGCGAAAAAGGCAGTTGGTGCTTCATATTATTTTCCAACGACAAAATAGCTTGGAATACTGCTGGATATGATGATTTAAGTAACTTATCTGTAGCCATTAAAAGGCATATGAGTTCTCAAAAACACATTAATGCGGTAATTTCGTTTAGTTATTTTGGAAAAAATCGGATTGAATCATCTTTGTCGCACCAGTTATCCGAGAAAATTACAAAACATAATATGCTTGTTGATCACAAAAAATAGTGTTTTTCAAAGATTAGTAAGAGGTCACGATGAGTAGATTCAGCATCAACAAAGCGACAAACGGCCGAGTTATTTATCTAGTAAAATCCAAAATGACATTATTCATTCTGTCGCTGATATAATGAAAACTCGCATCGAGACAATTAAAACATTCACCAACATTTTAACGCGGACGTAATGAAATATTTCCTTAAGAAAGAGAGATGATTCAATATAGAATATAAATATATTTTTTTTAATTTTGTACATAGTTTGTTTATACTTCGTTCATGCTTTTCTTTTGTTCATGTATTGTATTGTATGTAAATATTTTTTTCTTTCACTCAAGCAAACCCAAACGGCTTTTTTCAAAGCCACCGAAGGTATGCAATTGCTGATATGTCATACAATCTATCTAGCAGTAGTATGCCTTCTGTGTGCTTTGTTAAATACGTCCTCGACAGCACTGAATGTGAAACTAAAAAATGTAGACAGATCAAGTTTGGTATATTTTTATAAAACTGCTTAAAAACAACAAAACCATATCTTGGGCTTGCCCTAGTTTGGAGCCCTAGCTTTGCCATTGCGACTGTCTGCATCTTTTGCTAGGTTGCCACTTCACCTAATTGTGGACTGCCCTATACTTCGCTTACCGCGTACCAACACAAGGTTGCTCGAGATCCTTTCTTCTTCATCGGTTGTCAGGTCTTCGAGCTATATGGCCGGCCCATTGCCACTTCAACTTACTGATCCAATGGACTAGGCTTATATACCCTTAGAATATTTTTACATTACAAATTATTACGTAAAGAAACTTAACTTTAAATTTCCTCATTCAGCCCGCAATGAAGGACGAGGTCTCTGATAACGGATATGTCACCACTAGTAACACGCATTGGTTGCACAATCTTGTTATATGGGGTATATTCCGAAATACAACCCAGTACACTGGCAAATGCAAATGACGTCATCAATTGACACTATATTGTTCTGGCGTGCCGCCGCCATATTGCGTCGGATATCCGGCCACAATAAAATAACTTTTAATTGTGTGTGCGCTCAATGAAGCCTGCCAGAATTTGTTTTTATTTATTCAAATACAGAAAATTATAGAATAATTGCTGGTATCTCCATTAGGAAGATATAATGATTTTTGGAGCACAAAATGACAAAATAATCGCCAACACTTTTCCAATATGGCGTAAATGTATGACGTCATATACTGTCCTATGTTTTGGAACGAATCACCAGTATGGCGTCGATTCATGACGTCATTTGCATTTGCCAGTGGGTTGTATTTCGGAACATACCCTAAGTTTGAGAAATAGGTGACGAGAAAAAGTACCTTAAAGCCCAAAACGCTCTCTAGTCGAGTTGGGTTCGTTATGAATTCAATTCCATTCCATTCCAGACTTATCATAACATAAAAGTCCACTGCTTAACATAGGCCACTCTCATATATTGTCTCATGGGGGATTTTGCTATAGTTGAAAATCGCAATTTTTTTTAGTCGTTATTAGGAAGATGCTGCTGCTCATCTCCTGACTTCTTTCCTTCGCTGTCGCTTCTTAGGCACCCACGGAATGATATTGTGGAAGATATACTTACATCGCCACTACACGGTAATTTTCAAAATAATAAATATTTACTTATATCATATTGTCTGCAGAACGCAGCCCAAGCAGATTACTTGATAACTACAATAAAAGCAATTGATGAGGACACCGGAGAGAACGGCAGAGTATCTTACTACTTGAAGGTAGACAACCAGAATGTTGGAGAAACTCAAGAGTTCAGTCTAGATAAGGATACCGGAGAGTTGAGGACTAAAACATTCCTGGATAGAGAACATAAGGCGGAATATCAGGTTAGTGTTTAAGAGATCTAGAAGTATATGACAAAGATAGTTATGGACGTTTCTTCAAGATATCTCCTATTTTCTTTTCTTGATAAGCTTGTAAAATTTCACCGCTGACCACCTGAGCCCCTCCCGTTGTAGTGAGGACTCTAAGGCCAGTTAGTCAATCTCGAGTTGGAGTTCAAACTATACAATCTCAACATTTATGTCATATAATATATAGTATTGTTTTTCTAAATAGAATAAGGGTGACAAGCGAGCACACAGTACACCTGATGGTAAGCGGAAGCTGTGGCCTATGGGTACCTACATTTGTCCTCGATAAATAATCAAAATGAGAATGCGTTTTCATCCATATGGACTAAGACGCCTCGTTTCTAGTAAAGTAGGTCTCCGATTATCTACACTCACCGTATAAAACACAGCATCATTAAGCTTCTATTTCGTGTAAAATTGGTAGTTTGTGAGTGTGGCCTTCTTTGAAGTATTTTAAACATGCGTATAGTAATCCCTGAGAATGTGAAAGAAGGTGGTCTATTTTTAATTCAAAAATTCTTGTAAAGTATGTTTAAAAAATAGTCCCGAGGTTTCTTGTGTTTTCAGGAATAGGTATTGACCAGTGATAAAAAAATGCCTTTAAAAGTCATTTTTTTTTACCACTGGTAAATGAAATAGGGTTTTACGCTGCGATGCCAAGTAATGAAGATCAGCATTTTGTGCTGCGTGTAACTGATGATCATGTTTGTGATTAAGTAGCATTTAAGAGCAAGGGTTCCGTTTTTAAATAAAGTGACGAGGGAACTTACTACTTGATGGTAAGTAACTACTGCAGTCCATTCGTTGTCATCTCTGAGGACTAAAATAGAAAGCCTCAAACACTGTAATATACCCTTGAGACCACAGCAATACAATAACTGCTCTTTGCCGGCCGAAATAGGTAAAAAGACGGATACCTATATATATATATATATATAAGGAGTCCTACCACCTAGTATACTTTTACAACTTTAAGCGTATGACCTTCCGTGATAACTAAATGTTAGTAATTTCTCAGCTGGTGATCGCGGCGGTGGATGGTGGTGAACCCGCGCAGTTCGAGAGCCTGCGCCTGCTCAATGTATTGTTGATAGACGAAGACGACAATGTACCACACTTCCTTCAGAAGCACTACCAGTTCGCGGTCAAGGAGAACTTGCCTAGTGGCGTCATCGTTGGTAAGATGCCGTTGATCATCTATCTGTATTAGTTTGGAAACGCAGCTAAAACTATTTGTCTTAAATCATTTTTTTAATTTTTAATTTGTTAAAGACCTCATGGCTTCTGATGAATGGCAGTATACCCATATCGTAAGACCGTAAGACACATGTAAAATATCTAGACTACCAACAGGCAGCAGCATCACAGATGCTCACGTCTGGTACGGATATCTTCGGCGAATACCTCCCTACCTAGCGTGATTATTAAGGCAAAATCTCGCAACAATGAGACATGTCCAGCAGTAAGCTATTACGAACTGGTGAAGAAGATATATATATATTTTTTTTTTTTTTTTTTTGTCACATCTTCATCAGATCATCAGATTCAAAATATATTTATTCACATAATTCTTCAAGGAACTCCAACCATTTTAATACCATTTATGGTATTAATTGAAACTATTAGTAATATTATTCGACCTGTAACTTTAGCTGTTTGTTTAACTGCTAATATAATTGCAGGACATTTATTATTAACTTTGTTAAGAAGAACTAGCTCTAACTTATCTTCTTCTTCTTCTCCCTTGTTATTGTCCCATTTTAATTGGGGTCAGCCCTCCTAGTAATCTTGCGCCACATCGTGCGATTGTGGGTTGTCCTTTCTGATATGTTAGTAAATTTCAGGTCGTTTTTTAGTGTTTGCAGCCAGGTTATTGGTGGTCGTCCACGGCCTTTCTTCCCCTTTTCTATGTTCATAACTTTTTTTAGTCATATGGTCATCATCCCGTCTCATCACGTGTCCGTACCATCGTAGACGGTTTTCTCTAAGTTTTTCGTGCACCATAGCAACCTTAAAACTACCACGAATGTAATCGTTTCTTATTTTATCTGTTCTAGAAACTCCTCCAGACCAACGTAGCATTTTCATCTCAGTGACGTGAAGTTTCTGTTCATCCGTCTTTCTCATCGGCCAGCACTCAGATCCATATAGCAGAGCTGGTCTTACTGCTCTTTTGTATACATTGCCCTTTATTTTAATAGGCATACGGGAGTCGCATAGAATTCCAGACAGCGATCTCCATTTTAACCAAGCTGTTTGGGTTCTATTTTGTATGTCTCTTTCTATACATGCCTTTGATGCTACAATGGATCCGAGATATTTAAACTCTTCAACTCTCTTAAGAGGACTGCCTTCAATAGAAAGACATGGAATAACATTCGCATTGGCATTAGAAAAGTTACAGTACATATATACAGTCTTCTCTCTATTGACTCTCAATTGAGTATGTTAGGGCTGAATCTGAATGACAGGGTGAAGAATTGTGTGATAAGAGAAGAGTGTGGTTTGCAAGATGATGTTGTGACCAGGATTAAGAAAGGAATGCTTCGGTGGTTTGGTCATGTGGAAAGAATGGATGAGGAAAGAGTGACAAAGAAAATTTATGTTGCAGAAGTGAATGGCAGAGTCGGAAAGGGACGTCCTAGGCGAAAATTTATCGACCAAATTGGCGATTTATTGAAAACGGGCCAAATTAGGAGTACCCTTAACCGACGAGCATGCATGCGTAGATGTATGGATGTGAAGGAGGCGGGAGAGGTGTGTCAGGATCGTGCCAAATGGAAGTCTGTAGTCTCTGCCTACCCCTCTGGGTGACAGGCGTGAGTGTTTATGTTTAATGTTTATATGACTCTCAACCCTCTTCTTTCTAAGGACTTCTGCCATATTATCAGGTCTGATTGTACTTCCGCCATCGATTCGGCTATAAGTACTACATCATCAGCGTATAGAAGTGACCACGGTGCTGGTTTCTGAATGTCCGCAGTGATATAGTCCATTACTAGGTTGAATAGAAGAGGGCTTACGGTTGAACCCTGGTGAACCCCTACTCCGACTTCGAATGGTTCACTTGTCCCTGCTGGGCTGACCACTTTTGTAGTTACATCGTGGTACAGATCTTTGAGGAGTTCAATATAATGCTCCTGCACTAATTGCGCCCTTAGTGCTTGCCAAATTAGTTCTCGAGGAATTCGGTCGAATGCCTTTTCAAGGTCAATGAAAATAAGATGAAGATCTTGTTTGCGTGACTTGTACTTTTCCATAAGTATTTTTACTGAGTGAATTGCATCTGTAGTGCCCACGACGCTAGTGAATCCACATTGGTTCGGTGTAATTTTTGTAATTTTTGCCAGTCTTTTGACGAGGACACATTCCCAGATCTTAAGGGTCTGAGAAGTTAGTTTAATTGCTCTATAATTTTCACAGTCCGCAACATCCCCTTTATTTTTGTATAGAGGTATCAAATTGTTGTTTATCCACATATCTGGTATTTTGGTACTTTTAAGGGTTACATTAAATAGATTTGTCAGCCATGCTACGCCGGTATTGCCCACATTTTTCCATAGTTCAGCTGGAATCTCATCCGGTCCGGTTGCTTTTCTATTTTTCATTCTTTGATGGCTGCCTTTACTTCCTGGGGTGAAATTTCCTCAATTGGTCCTTCCGTGGATCCGACGGATGTGAGTGGTTCCTGTGGAAATTTCTCATTCAGTAGTGTTTGGTAGTATTCTCGCCATCTCTTACTAATTTCTTTGTTTGCGGTTAACAATTTACCCGATGAGTCTTTGATATATTTGTTACGTTTGATATCTTTTGTTTGGTTATTTCGATGTTTTGCTAATTTAAATATTTCTGCGTCTGATTTTGCTTTTTCTAATTCTTTGTAAAAGTGATCTTTGGATAGTGCTTTTGTTACTGCAACACATTTTTTAGCTCTCTTTTTAACTATATTGTAATCCAGCCTATCGCTGTCACTTTTTGATTGTTGCCATTTCTTAAAAGATTCTTTCTTCTCCAATAACAGAGATTTAACATTCTCATCCCACCAAGTAGGATCTTTATTAATCCTCAATTTTCCTTTTGTAATACCTAAGGTTGTTCTGGCGGTTTTTAGGCAAAACATGTGGAATTCGTTCCATAGAGTGTTGCTGTCTTTTGGGACTTGAAGTGTCTCTTTGAAGTATTTATCCACCTGATCAATAAATAAAGTGCCTTTATCCTTGTGTATGTTATACCATTTTATGCGGGGTTCATGATTTTGATATTTCTCTTTTGTATTCCAGTTTGGCATTTTCAGACAGGTTACCAGTAGTCTGTGTTGGGTTGTTAGTGGAATTCCTGGTATAACTTTACAGTCCCTAAAATTGCGGAGAATCGATCTGTCACAAAGAAAAAAGTCTATTTGAGAGGCCGAACCACCACTTTTGTAGGTGATGAGATGTTCATCTTTTTTTTGGAAGTAAGTGTTAACGATCGGGAGATCAAATTGGGTCGCTAGATTTATTATATCCTGACCTTAGCTATTAGAGGTGCCATATCCAAAATTTTCATGTATGTTTGAGTTTTCAGGTGCTTTCATTCCTACATGGCCATTCAAATCCCCTGCTATAATTTTTTTCTCGTGTAAAGGTATGGCTACGAAAAGGTCTTCTAGGTTTCCCCAGAACAGATCTTTTTCTTCGTTGCTACATCCAGCTTGAGGGGCATATACTGAGACTATGTTAAGAGTTAATTTGTTGTCTAAAGCTAATTTCACGTACATAATTCTGTCGCTTATTCTTTCTACTTTGATTATTCGTTGTTGTAATGTTTCGTCGAGGATGATGCCGATTCAGTTCCTTGTCGAAGATATGCCGTTATACAATAGTTGATAGTTTCTACCAATATCCCTGGATTTTGACGCTTTCCATTTGAGTTCCTGTATACAACATATGTTAATATTTCGTGCATATTTGCTAATTCTTGACTGCGTCCGGTAAGGGAACCGATGTTCCATGTGGCTATACGCAAATTATTCGCGCTGCGTCTTGTTTCGTCGCTTACAGGGGACGCCTTAGCATTTTTCGCTTGGGATCGTATTTGGTCGTCGCTTGAGGGGTACGCCCTAGCCCTTATATTTTTTCTTTTATGCTTTGCTTTCATACTAGGAGATTTTGTTTTTTGGCAGTGTATTTTTACGGCCGGTTGCCACCTGACGCCAAGACTGTCACCCCTTCTAGGGTGCGGGCGCGCCGTTGACTCATCATGAGCTCATCCGCCGCCGTCCCTTCTGTAGTGCTCCAGCCTAAGCAAACAGCACTGCTCACGATCTTAACTACAAATATGTTGAAGCAGCTCGTAGCAGGGGTTTGATAACGGAGTTTCCTTCTCCGGCCTGTTGGTCCGCGGGAGGTATTTTATTTCCCTCCTACCCGGCAGTGACGCCGAGTGTTCCCCTATCCGCCACCTGGGGACGCGCTCTCTAGGTGTGAGGCTCACCCGAGAGAACTAGCTCTAACTTATCATTTTTTAATATTATTTATTTTAATTTTTGTACAAATTTTACTTTTAATTTTAGAATCTGCTCCTGCCGTTAGTAGTAAAGTATGATATGTGTATATATATATATATCTATATCATACTTTACTACTATAGTCAACCAAATCTAAGATATAGTTTTTGACGTTTCACATTAATCATTCCGCAATAACTTTGCACAAGCGTACTCACACGATTTAAAGTAACCTTTTACGTAAATCCGAAGAATTATGAAGTTATCTATATTTCATTACAACGTGTATAGTTTTTTATCAGTAATTTAAATTATTGGATTTTTCAAACAAAGCAAAATATTAAAAAATAACCAGTATTAATTTTTTTACAATGATGTCGTTTTAATGATATATCGCTGTGTATATTACCGTAGTGTTTGGACGATTAAAATTCATTGTTATGCGAATAATCGACAAAATATTCAAATAATTGAATCATTAATTTTTTTAATGTATTATTTTTTTAATTTAATTTTTATTTTCAAAATTCCTTAAATTACATGAATCATGAATAAAATAATTTTATTTTTTACTTTGCAAAGTAAATTTGTGTAGGTAAAAAAACTCATAGGCAAGGCCGTGCAAAGATAACCACTACATAATTTCAATATCCCGCCATTTCGGTACCAGTTACTGAACACCACCAAGTTAGCAATTCATTCTTGGGGCTATGTATAGGCTTTTACAACAAAATCCCAGAAAATATACAAAATTTGACGAGTACGCAAATTTCAAAAACTTTATTAAACTAAGTTTGTATAAAAAGGGTTATTTTAATATTAAGGAATTTATGGATGATAATAACCCCTGAAGGGAGATCGCTACCAAGCTATTTCTAATTTGTTTTGTGTTGTAAATTGTAACACGCATGATTGTAAGGTCTTTTTTTTAAACTAGTTTCGTTGGGTTTCTTGCTGGTTCTTCCCAGGACTGAGGTTTTTTTTTGCGAACCAGTGGTAAATGAAAAAAGTGACTTACAATAAGTATTATTCATAATCTATATTGAATAAAAAAGTTTCTATTTCTGTTTCGAGAACTTACTGTGCGTAATTTTGTGTATTTGTTCTTATTTTGTGACTCGGCTTTAACTTTTTGGACTGTTTCGTCTATATTCGTTGAAACATGTGCCCACGTCACAAAAGATGATTGGGAAAAGTGGTAGAAAAAACAAAACAAATTATTATGGATAGCTTTGAAAGAGACATTAATTTGTACTGAAAGTGATTGAATAAATTTATTTTTAATCTAGTTGCAATCTCAAATTTTTATAACTGTGCCTCTTGAAATAAGCAGTAACAACAAATACAAAGAAACTGATAAATCTTGTGTTTTAAATTATCCGTTTTTAATTTTTTTTTCGTATTATTCAAACGAAACTGCAAATGATTATCAACTCTAAATAATCGATATCGATTTTTTCAAGAATCGAATATTGTACGTTCCCATTTTTTGGTTGGCATGCTTGGTGCAATAAGTCTGACAGCTGTCAAAAGGTATTTCTTAGATTTGGTTGACTATAAGTAGTAAAGAATGAAAGATATAAGCCATTGAATGAAACCAGTTTTTACGGATTTTGTCGTGTTTAATTAATTTGATTTATATATGTATGCGTAGTTACGGTTCGTGACTTATCGTTGAATCTCTTTATAATATACATTACTTTTGCCATATAGCTTGAAGAACCGATAACCGATGGGGAAAAAGGTTCTCGAGTGGTAGCCTCGTACCGGCAGGCGTAAGAGCGTTCCTCCACTAGATGGAGTGACGACATGTTCAGCAGTGGACATGTTAAGGGCTGTAATAATGATGATTACTACTTTAGATAATAGGAGGTTAACTCTAGTGAGTAGCTATGTGTTTTTTTTATAAATTGGCATTGACAAAAGAACATACAGTCCACACGATAGTAAATGACTTCTGCAGCCCATGGACACCTGCATCCAACATCAAACAAAGAAGGTTTTAGATGCGTTGTCACATTTGAGGACTAAGATGGAATGCCTCACATCCTGTTATTATACTTGCTCTTTACACCATTTAGACCGGATCACAGCAGTACACGCTAAGCGACTAATACTTAGCGACGGTAAAGGCCGTTTTACACTTCGATAAGTACAGTAGCGAGTTAACTTGCGAACCTGGCGAGTTAAATAATTTATATGTAAAAAAATTATTTTTTGAAAATAATAAATAATTTTTTATTTAATTACTAATTTGAACTGGCTAATATTCAGGAATCCACGGTATGTACCATAATATGAATAGTTTTGTTAAATGTATTATAAGCAGGGATGCGCGCGTACTGTAGTCTTCGTTTGTTGGGCGCTGGCACAATAACAACGTTGTAGGCAACTGCAACACTCTAGCTGAGCTAGAGCCCATTCATTAATACACTATGTAATAATGGTTATTTCTGTGTGTCACTGAAACTTTGATGGTGGTAATGAATAAATCTTTCTTATTATTAAGTATAAAACCTCTTTTGAACGGCAATCAGTGTGTTAATTAACAAATTATCAATTAATTTGAACGGGATAGCCGGCCGGTCCATATTTCGGCGAGTTAAGTTCGCGGGAGGGCTCCGCGCGTTTTCTCCTAACCGCACCTAAACTCGCCGCTCGTGTGAACGAACGAGTTTAGTTCAGTGCGTAAGTTGACAGGACGCAACATGTTCGCCATTCGGCCCTTCAAATATAAAATTGTACTTTTTAACTAAACTCGCCACGAAGACATTCGAACGCTACTGCCCACTTAACCTTTTACTGTCAACTGCCCTGTAACTAAACTCGCTACTGTACATGTCGATGTGTAAATCGGCTATAATGGACACTTAGAGACCAATAAATTGCCTAGGTGTCTACATGTCTGACACGAGAGGTTATTTCCTTAACCTGTAGTGTTTAATTTACATAATTATCAAAAACGCTTTTGATACGGAATACGGCCTTTATTTTAAAATTGTCTACATACCATGCATGCGTGTAAATAGAATGCTCTTGATTGAATTCACTTTAATTATATTTTCAATGCAAAAGTAATATTTCAATTTTCTAAAGGCTATTGTTTTAATTTTCTCATACTGGTAAGGAAGCTGTTGATCGACCCTCTACCGGTTGGAAATATGATCTGTTAAGAGATGCAGGAAATCGCTGAATGCAGGTAGCTCAGGACCCGTGATTTGTGGCATTACTTGAGGTAGGCCTTTTTCCAGCTGTGGCCTTGTAATGTGCTATTATGTGATGTGATAATGATGATGATTTTTAATCATCGTATTAAAGTTATTGATAGGATAAAATACAGCATAAACAAAATTATAGTTGTATAAATAAAATAAAAGAATATTTTTTATTATTAAATAGGGTATTGTGAAAAGTCAGAATGTGTCAAAAAATTCACAGTGCTGTGTTAGTCCCTACTTTAACGTATGGTAGTGAAAGTTGGGTGTGGCAGAAGAAGCACGAGAGTAGGATAAATGCAGTGGAAATGTGGTCGCTAAGGAGTATGTTAGGGCTGAATCTGAGTGACAGGGTGAGAAAGTGTGTGATAAAAGAAGAGTGTGGTTTACAAGATGGTGCGGTGACCAGGATTAAGAAAGGAATGCTTCGGTGATTTAGTCATGTAGAAAGAATGAATGAGGAAAGAGTGACAAAGCAAATATATGTTGCAGAAGTGAATGGAAGAGTCGCAAAGGGACGTCTTAGGCGAAAGTTTGTCGATCAAGTTGGCGATATATTAAAAATGGGCCCAATTAAGAGTACCTTTAACCGACGAGCATGTATGCGTAGGAGATATATGGATGTGGAAGAGGCGAGAGGAGGTGCTAAATGGAAGTCTGCAGTCTCTGCCTACCCCTCTGGGTGACAGGCATGAGTGTTTATGTATTATATAAGGGTGACAAACGAGCACACAGACATCTACATTTATCCTCGATTAAGAATCAAAACGCAGATGCGTTTTCAACTGAGGGCTAAGATGAAGTGCCTCGTTTCCAGTAAAAAAGGGTCTCCGGATCTCTATACTCACTATACGAAACACAGCAGAATTACGCTGCTATTTTACGCTGGTATTCTGTAAGTGCGTAGTCCTGCCCCAGTCCAGCCGACACATTGGTGCTACAACTATAATAATATTCAGTCAAGATATAATTTATTTCATGGATGACTCTTATATTATGATCAGCTCTAAAGGATACAATTAGTCTTTATTATAATAACCTTATATAGCTGTTATTCTCCTTTATATTTAACGAACAAGTACAGACTTAATCAAAACAAAATACCATTAGGTACAGTGAAAGCCATCGACGAAGACGACGGAGAAAATGGCAAGGTTTATTACCACATACTGGAAGGCAACCGAGAGGGCGCGTTCATTCTTGACAGGACGCAAGGCATCATACGGGCGAACATGTCTTTCGACAGGTAAGAAATATTTTACTCTTGTACACAATATATGACAATATGTTACTACTGTATACACTTGACAGCATAGAATAAAATAGAATAGAATCATTTTTATTCAATATAGATTTCAAGATTACAGACTATTGTTGCGCGCCATAATTAATGCCTTGTACATGGCGGTTTACACTAGCGCCATCTAGTATCGAGTAGCAGAACTAGGAGCGTCAAGATCTTTGTAGAAAATTCCATTCTAGCATTTTCTACTTCTAGTCAGTTGGGACCGGTATGTACTCGAACATTCTAAATGTTTCAGTAGTGGAGACCCTATATAAAACCGCTAAGGACGGTTGTATTAAATTGGCGAATACTTCGAAGCGATATAACTGCGAACTAGTGTCAGTTGTGCAATTGTGCTTTATTATAAGTGTGTTTTAAGTTGTAATTGGTGTTCGGTAATTAAAGTGTCAATTTTGGTAATTCAATCGGCAGTTTACATTGTCACGAACGCCAAGCTTGTAACTCTATTAAAGTTCACCGTGAACATATACCTCCTCAATAGATTGCTCACAGGGCAGATATATGCCATATTTGCAACACTGTTAACCGTAGTTTATTTTTATTTTAGTCGTTATTAGGATGATGCTGATATCCATCAGTAGTGGATATTTTTACACCGCCAATGCAATAATTACACAATAAATAACTTTCAGAGAGAAGCAAGAGGAATATACAATGGTAATATACGCCAGCAATAATCCTTTACTAGAACACGCTGCCGCCATTTTGAATTCCATAGACAACAGCACGGACAGCCAAGATGGCAGCGTTACAACGGTCGGAATTAAAATTCTCGACGAGAACGACAACGAGCCCAAATTTGAGCAGAGAGTTTATTATGCTGGTGAGTTATAAACTTAACCCTCACTAACATTTTTGTAACAGTTATTGTGAGCTGTGTGGTCGTTTGTCCACTTTTATTTTATAAAACAAGTTTGAAGGTTAAAACAGTAATTTAAAAAAAAATTGCGTAAAGAAATTTGCTGAAAAGAGAACAATTTTGTACGCTATGTCTAATCTAATGACTCACGTATGTATAATGTAATGACTCCTCATATGTTAAAATTCATCAAGCCGTTTAGGCCACAGAGCGTGCCGAGGGTCAGGACCGGTCAGTTGATTTCGGGGTCGGATTGGAGGCAATTAAATATAGTCCAGTTCAATCCCCCAGAAAACATGGGTTTACGCGTTTACCTCTAAGAAGAACCCCTTTGTCGGACTTCTTAATTTAAAGGCACTCCCCTTGTTGCCTCAGCTAGTATCGGAACCCTCGGCGCGACATATCCAATGACGTGTAGTTTCGTGGTTTCTTGGAAGAGAAGGCCAAATTGACTTCTAAAAAGTGTGCTTCTAAAAAGTGTCTCAGCAAAGCGGGGCAGTATTTCATGCCGGTACACAGCTTTCAACTTTACAAGGCGCAGATTTGGCCTCACATGGAATACTGTTTTCATCCCTGGGCCGGGGCTCCCCAGTGCTCTTTCAAATTGACCTTATCCTCTAATCGTCGGTGATCGCGTTCTCCTTGACCGGCTCGATTCACCGGCTCACTGGGAGTGCTCTGAGGGATTGTTCGGATTAATTCCAGCCGCCAAATTTCACCAACGTACATCGCGACAAAACTTAAATTACTATCCACATCATTTGGAGTTTTCTTCCTCGCATGAATACTTTGTGAAATTGTTTATTATCGGCGATTTTTTCGTACCGATACGGCTTAGAGACCTTCAATAAACGAGCTTACTCCTTTTTTAAAGGCCGGCAACGCACCTGCGATTCCCAAAAACAAAGGAAATCTTGTTTCCATTTCAAACTTTAACACTAAAAGCGACTGGCTGACATAGACATTTCACGTTAGAACCAACGGCCGTATGCTCGAGTTGGTTTGTTACCTGCTGCTTTTCTGTTTAATTTCCCTCTGTCGCTTCTTACGACACTCACGGGAAGATATAGGGTAGTGAATATTCCTACTTGGGTTACACGCCTATTATGAACTTTAATGTTAGACTTTCGTGGTATGGTTTTCAACGGCCCATCAGCTCCTCAGAACTGTATTGTACACGAGAAATGTAAATGTTATCATGATGGAAACAATAGTTTTTGTATGAATCCTTTAGTACAGAAAAAACTATTTGAAAGCAGTTGAGACCGTTTTTTGTATTTATTTAATTGTTGGAACAACTATGGCCAAGGATGGGTTTATCTCTTTTAAGATTACACGTAGATATTTCTGTGTATTGATAAATTGTGAAAAATAATTACCGTGTAGTGCAGGTGTAAGAATATCTACTAACCCATATCATCCCTTGGGGGTCGTGAAAGACGACAGAAGGACGCAAGTCAGGAAATGAGCTGCAGTGTCTACCTAAAATGGACTAAAAATAAAAAACATGCGTGCAGCTCACACGCGACAGAAGTAAAACCTTCGAATGAAATGAAATATAAAATACAAATACTTTAAATGATTTATTTAATATTATAATTTAAACTACAAGTTTGGCATAAAATGTAAGAAAATATAATTTTATAGTAAATAAATGTAATAATCCTTTTAATATATATATTAGACACATATATTATATTACTCTTTTCGGTATATCTTATATCACTTATATAGTACTCATTAATTACAAAAAGATTTATATTAATTTTTCTTATTACGAAGTTGAGGTTTGGCCGTTCTTCACTGCTTGTTTACACGACACCTTCGTACCACAGTTCGTACCTCGTTGAACAAAACGCGTAAGCGAAGCCGTTTCAGCGTCGTTTACGACTTAGTCACGGCTATAGTCTATAATGCTTATTATTTCATTTTCTCACACGTTAAATCTTATGAATTTATGTGTCTGTCTCTTTTTACTGTCGCTTTTTCATTTCATCCAGTTTCAAATCACAACGATGCTAAAGAAGTATTCACTTCAAAAGCTGTGGTTGCCAACTCGCTTGCCAATCGTGGCAAGTATGGCAAATATTTCTTCAGGCAATCGATGGAGGTGGCCTATGTTGAGCAGTGGAATTTAATAGGCTATAACGGTAACGGTGACGGTATTGATAAAATGTACTAGTAGGTTAACTAGGTTGTAGAACTCCTTTCTGCCTGAGAGTCCTACTTTCTGCCTGTCTGAAGGGTATAGAAAGCTAGTATAATCACTGGCTGAGAGACCTCTCATTTTAGGGTGAAGAGTTGACGACGCATCTCTCAGCCGCTGTTGTTCGAAGTTAACCGCGGGTGTACATAGATCGTAGACTGCAGCATCTACTTATCATCAGGTGTTCTATAAGTGTCGTTTGTTACCTCAATTTTATAAAAAAACCTCTTTACTCCATTTCAGGAGTAAAACACACGGCCCGTGTAAACGAACCGATTATATCAGTGATGGCCGAGGATCCGGACCTGGAAGAGAATGGAACCATCATATACATGGTGGCGGCTTCACACCTGTACAAGTTCGGCGCCTCGCAGTCCAGCGGGAGTGTGGTGCCCTCGCCCTTCAACATCAGCCAGGACGGTGAGCAAAGGGTGTTATATATGTTATTTAATATTGGATTAACTTTATAGGCTGTAGGGGGGGGGGGCCTTAATGTTTGGCGGATTGAGTTTGTTTTATCCACACTTATATGTTAGAGCAATACTGCAGTTATATTATAGTTATTGCACAAATGGGTCGGCTTGACCGTGGATGTACCAAGCTCTCACAAAATACCAGCTTAATTTTGCTGTATATCGTATGTTGAGTTAAGTAAGCCGGACTATGAAATGCCTCCAATGACAAGGGTCTTGGTACTGGAGGCATTCCATTTTAGACCTCAGGGATGACAACGCATTTGCATTTTGACTCTTAATCGAGAAAAAATGTAGATGTCTATGAGCCACAGCATCCACTTACCAACACGTGAACCGTGTACTTGTTTCGCATTATCTGCGAGCCTGTATCGGCTACGATTTATCGTTATCGTATTGGCTAATGGAAAATCGTTCTTACGCGGGATATGTACAAGACATATAATCAATATTTTAATTCCAGGTATCCTAATGACGACGGCCTTCATGTCGGAATATAACCAGGACCGCTTCGTACTGGACATCATAGCCCAAGAGCTCGCCCCGCCTCACAGACAGGCAAAAGCGCAAGTCTATGTAAGTAACTTTCATTTACCGCTCTTTGTCTTTTCTATACATTGTAGTGATAAACTAACTAATAGTCCACCTGATGGTAGATGGTTACAGCAGGTCATGGACACCTGCAGTACCTCAAACAAAAAAGACTACAGATGCATCGTCACCTCTGAGGACTAAGATGGAGTGCTTCATAGCCTGTAATTATACTGGTTCTCTACGACCTTGAGCGGAAGACAGCAGCAGAAAAGAAATCTTTCTATTTTCTAAGTGGTAATTGGAAAAGTGTGTTCTACCTATCCCAATGTCCGTATATATTTTTATTATACAATATGTTCGGTTAAAAGTAACAATTGCTGTCGAAAATTGAGGAATTGAAGGAACTGTTTAGATTAATCTCAGCAACCTAATTTCATGAACGCACTACGCGGCAAAACTCCCGATACCATCCACACAATCTGGATGCTTTACGGTCCACCACTGTACGTTTCACAAGGAGTTTTCTTCCGCGTACGACCTCTCTGTGGAATAGTTTACCACCGGCGATTTTTCCGGACCGATACGACTTAGGGACCTCCAAGAAAAGAGCTTACTCCTTTCTAAAAGTCCGTCAACGCACCTGCATTTCCCCTGGTGTTGCAGTTGTTCGTGGGTGGCGTTAGTCACTTAACATCAGGCGAGCCGTATCATCGTTTGCCTCTCTCCTATTAAAAAAAAATTGTTATATTGAGTAACGAATACTAGAATTTTAATTTGAATTCACCAATATGTCCATGTCACCAATTTCAAACAAAGAAGGCACTGCCGATGCGGTTGTCACCTCCGAGGGCTCAGTTTCATATTACGTCTGGGGCTTATGATAATGCAGATGTGTCCAAGTTAGAAGGACCTTTTTACGTATAGTGACGTTGCAGTTATATTGTGGCCGCAGCACGAATAGACTAGCTCGACCGCGGATGACCACGCTCTCACAAAATACGTGTTTATATTTATTATGTGTTTCGTATGGTGACTGTTAAGATCCAGAGTTTTGTTTTTTAATTGTAATAAAGCATTCGATCTTAATTCTCAGGGGTAAGTACAAAGATAAGTAGGACAGTACTATTCCATTTTAATTCTTAAGCGATGATAGATGTTGATGTTGATGGCCAAAGCATTTACTTTAAATCAAGTAAAATGTGTACTTGTTTGCACCCTTTTATTTTATTTAAAAAGCTTAAGCCTCCGGTTAAGGTACCGGATCAACACTCTTAAGATTTTAATAAAAATATATTTTACCAGCTATGGATCATTGATCGATCAGCGCTGATCCGTATGGTAGTATCCCGAAGCTGCTCAGCTCCAGCGGCTGATGTACGGAAGCGACTAGAAGCAGCAGGTCAAGCTTTACTGGTCACTGGCAGGAGACTGCCTCTTGTACAGGCAGATAGACGACATGATGACTGGTAAGTAACCATATGCAATTTGTTTTGTTAAAAAAAAACACTAACTTAAAAGTTGATAACTACTTTTCTTACGGATTTTATCGCGTTTAATTTATTTTATTTTTAATATCCAACGTTTCGGGTGTGCATTTTATCCTAGATGGCCTCAACCATTACATCAGATTTGATAGACAATTGATCCCCGCGAAAGAACATCGATTCCTACCAAAGAAGAACCGTGAGGCTATTGAAATTAAAAACATCCCAATTTGAATAGAGAAGAAGGATGGGTACTACCACCTGTTTGGGACCCTATAATTAATAAAATTAACACTAAACTCAAGCTTACTACGGCAAGGCTTCATTAGACACAGTAAGATCATTCTGCGTAGATCGGACTATAAATAATAGTAAAAAAGCTGATGGTACTCCAGGTTCACACTGACATTAGGGCGTCAGTCACCTCAGTCTCCCGTGACCATGGGTGCAGAAAGCACCCGAAACCTCGGCAATTAAAAATCAGGAAATTAAACGCGATAAAATCCACAGTAAAAATAGTTTCAATTAACGTGTAGTGTTCGCGTAAATGTAAGAAATCATTAACTAACTTGAAGTTTTATTTATAACTAAAAAATATAAAACTGAAAATGTATTGGTTGCCGAATTAGCAAAAATCGACTTTAATGCCAAGCATTTAGGTATAATTCAAGGTATAACAGTCGATTTTATTGGAGAGGTGAAAAACTACCTTTTTTATAAGTGAAGTTACAAAATGACAAGCTTACAGTCCACGTGATGGTAAGTGGATACTGCAGTCCGTGAACATCTGCAGCCAACCTCAAACGACGAAGGCTACAGGTGTGCTGTCACCTGTGAGGACTAAGATGGAATGCTACACAGCCTGTAATTACGAGTATACTGGCCCTCTATACCCTTTAGACCTGAACACAGCAGTGCACGTATTGTTTTTTGGTGGGAGAAATAGGAGAGTGGTACCTTCCTATACCATGGAATGGCTGCTGTAGAAAAACAACGAATAATAGCAAATACTTAACCCAAGTTATTGGGGCCATCATTAGAATGTGGGAGCAATATACTTTAATTAGCCTCTTGTGTAGGTAAATACAAGTTTCAGTGTATCTACTTCTTTCATTTTATTTTTGACTAATACTGAAGTGAATACCATTTCCGGGCGTATAACAAGCAAGGCAAAATGTAAGTAGAGTATACCTAGCAGTGTATGGTCTGCCAGATATTCTCGGGTTCATTGACTGCACCCATGTTGATATATTTCACCTACCATTCCAGACTGAGGTTTAGTACAAGAAAAGGGCGGTCTACAATATTTGTTCAACTAGTAATAGCAAACAAGTTATAGAATTTAAAAAAAAATCAAAAACCTAATAATTAAACAGGCAAGTGTCACAGGAGTGCCGGCAGCCTAAAGGAGTCCGACTACCTAGCCACGTTTTGACCTTGGTTTAAAGAACTTCCGATCAATTCATAGAAAAGTATCAAGAGTAGAAATAGATTTAAAAATTCTAATATCACGCCATAAATAACGCAAGATATTTCAATTTTCTTTTCTTTAAAGAAAATTCTTTCCGCAGGTGCGAAATCCATTTGCATGCAGTAGACCCCAGCACGTACCAAGTGCTACCCGTGGACAAAGTACTGGAAACCATCGACTCCAAATACGACGAGCTCAAAGACGTCTACCAGGAGTTCGGAGTGGAGACGCTTATCGCCGCTAGCGCTACCTCTAAAGGTTACTTGATTAGCTTATGAAGGGCTGATTCGGTGTATTTAACTGGTGCTCGAAGTTCCGACAAACAACTGATGGTATATAGATACTCGGTAGAGCCACGCTTCAGGTATATTATAGCGCCAATGGCCGACCCATTACCTTCAACCGGGTACGGGTCGCTCGCTCACAGAATACCATCGTTAAATAGCAGCTTAATGCTGCTGTGTTTAGTATAGTGAGTGAACAGAACCGGAGACTCTTACTGGAAACGAGATAGTCCATCTTAGTCCATCTTAGTCCTTAGTGGTGATCACGCATCTGCACTTTGATTTTTAATCGACGATAGAGAACCGGAGACAAAATTTAAATTATTAAGGTTGACAGCGCATTTTGATTACACAGTCCACCTGTTGATAATGTGACGGCCCAATATTATTATTAATAATTAAATTCAATTATAAATATAAAGGGGCGTCAAAAATAGTCTTAAAAGATATATATTAAACAATAAAATTACATTAATAACCATAAAGTTAATATAAATACATTTCAGACATTAGACCAATAACATAGTAAATTAAAGGCAAAATATTGTCTTCCATAATAAATAAATTTATTAAAAACTTGAAAAAAATATTTAAAATAAGATAATTAATAGAAATACAAGTCGAAAATATTATAAAAATAAAGATAAATAACATTTATAAGATAATTAGAAAATTTGTTGAAAATTGTCTAAGTCGTGGAAGGAGTTCATGTATAAAAGAAAATTTACCTAAGTTGTTGAAGGAGTTCGTGTATAAAAGAAGTTGTGGAAGGAGTTCACGTATAAAAGAAAAGTTTCCTAAGTTATGGAAGGTGTTCATGTATAGATGTCTTGTATGGAGGAGCTGTCGGAGATACATACCTGCAGTTGTACATATATATGGGGTGGTCGGGAGCCCGACTGCCTGAAGTACTGTAGCACAATGACTAGTCCTATATTAGGGACTTATGATAATAAACTCAATGATACAAAAGCTTTTATTATAGAAGGTCTCCATGATGAATTTGCATTACAATAGTAGGGTCGTGGGTTCGAACCCTATATATTAATGACTTATGAAAGTAAGGTCTATGATACAAAAGCAATACTATAAAAGGTCTCTATGATTAATATGCATTACAATAGTAGGGTCGTGGGTTCGAATCCTATATATGCATGACTTATGAAAGTAAGGTCTTTGATACAAAAGCAATATTATAGGAGGTCTCCTTGATGCATAAGCATTGTATGGGGTGATCGGGTGACCGACTGCTCCTAGTACTGTTGCAAAATGACTAGTCCTTATTAGGGACTTGAAAAGGAATATTATAGTGGCGTGTGTGGGGCTGTGTGCCTCCCCTACATTTTTTAATAAATGTAGGAGAACGAAGCCCTTGTATCGGGTATTTTGTATAAATATATTTTGAGCCTTTTCCGAGCGGGAAGGGATAAATAATATTAAATTAATAATGTAAACCTGATACAAGTGGAATTGGGACGTTTTATGTCTTAACCTTTCTCGAGCCCTGTCTTCGTGAACGGGGTTCACTTAGCTTATAAGGCACTACCAACAGCTTTCAATTGCTCTAGCGAATATTCATTCTTCCAAAAGACACCTAAAAGAACTAAGTTACTAAACAAACACAACGTAAATAAGGGTCCTAACTAAGTCGATCACGCCAAAATATTACAAACGGCCTATTATTAAACCTTTAGAAAGATCATTTAGAAAGATCAAAACATATTTATCCTGGTCACATATATATAATTTTTAATATAAAGGGGAATATAATATATTTAGTATTTTATATATTTATTATTATGAGAGAGGGGGGAAGCGTTACAATAAGTAGATCCTGTCGCTCATAGACATCCACATCTATCCTCGATTAAGAATCAATATACGCTGTCAACTCTGATAACTTAAATCAATAAAAAGCAGCAGCATTAATCTGCTTCCGGTTGAACCGACCCCTAATATAGCTGAAACGTGGATCTATCACGTTAAAAAAACTGACAACCGTACTTTATATTTTTGTTCATCTTTCTCACCGCCCATCTCCTGTTTTTTGTCCCTCTGCTCTGTCGTCTTTTACGATATCTCCACATATATATTATCCTAAAAACGAAGAGAAGTGATAACATTTCTATATAACCAATTATTTTTAATTTCCCCAGCACCGGACAGTTTCGACCCGGCACTCGCGACACTCATAGCACTACTTATAGTGCTGTTCACGGGAATCGTCACCTTTGTGGTTGTGTGCGCCTGCCTTAAACACTGGTAAGTTGTTGGATTCTGTTCTAACACGCTTTGTAAACTTGACCTGCAGTATTTATGCTTGTTGTATATGTATATATTTTTGGTGGTAAGACTTTTTGCCTAGATGTCCCTCTTACCTATTTCCGGCAACCAAACAACGGTGTCTGAACTGCTGAGTTCCGGTTTAAAAGGTGTAGAGAGTGTCGGTCTTGCACTTTTGCTTACACTCATCTCACTTAAGCTACGTGTATTGAACTGACTTTTATCGTAACAAATTAATGTACGATTAATGTATTACCACCAAGGGAAAAACCGTTCCTAACATAACTATTGCATCTAGCTTTAACTTAATTTAATACATATTTACTACTACGGTCATTCTTTCGTAGTCAACAAATTTACTGTGAATATACAGAGAAATAAAATTAACTAGTTAAGTAAATGGAATCACAACTAAACCGTATATCTTTAATGCTCCTTCGAGCCGGATCCATAGGTCGCTGGTTCATGTGTGGCTCGCAGGACCATGTATAGGTCGCGCCACGTAAGATGAAATTAAATAGAGTCCACTATATCCTAATATATAAAAATGAAATTTTTATTATGGCATTTTAATATGTAAAAAGTCAAAGGTCAACATTATAACTACACATCAAAGTCTCCACGAAAACTGAACGATATATTTATATATCATCGTTAGGTTTTAACTGCTTCTAAATAATATTCTGCATTTTATGTACACTTAGTTAAAGAAATAAAATATTTTGTATTTGTATTCTTGTATTTGTAATTGCTGTTTAAACTATACTATGCTTATTTACTATGCAATAATTTGCAAAAGAAAATCGTCTTGTAGATAATAATAAAATATTTACAACTTTATACAATATACTACGAACTACGCTATTTTAAATAGTCCCAAAATAATTTATAAAGTACTAAATATTTGCACACTATTTGAAAATAATAATAATAAATTTTGTACTTTTAAAAATATTGTATAGAACAATATTTTTAAAAGTACAAAAATAATCGCAAACATTTAAAATTTTATAACAGGTAGAGTCGCTAACACTTTCGATATCCATAGTACACAAGACGACACAAGAAGGTGCGCGGGCGACGGGACGCAGGAAGAAATAGCGCGTCGCCCGTTGCTATGGTTTCGCTTCCCCGTACCTCACACCTCACCGTGCCGACACCTATTTTTTGGTTCTGCGCACTTCCATGACTCGTGGTGTTGCCTAAACCCACTGTAAATTAGACCGTACAACCAGTGTTATTACCGTGAGGCACTCCATTTTAGTCCTCAGAGGTGACAACGCATCTGTAGCCTTTTTGTTTGAAGTTTTCTGTAAGTTCGTTTGTCACTTTAATTAAAAAAAATTAAAATGTGTGTATGAAAGTAACAGAATTTTATAATTCAAATTTCATCCAACGCATTAGAAAAATCTTTAAATTCGCAGACATCTTAAGAATTGATAAAAATATATTACTTTTATGACTATGACCTAGTTTTCTCACTAGGATCAGCACAGTTCATAGTCGATGCGTGTTGTTTTAGTTATTTTAAACTTATTATATTGAAATTACTTTACCATTATTATAACAGCATATCACAAGTCCACTGCTTAATATAGACCTCGCCAAGGGATGCCTCAAAGCACACTTCTGAGCCTCCCGCATCCGTTTTCTTTTTCTATCAATTAAAAGGCCGTTACTATAACAAGTGAGGAGCAGCCACTCGAGAATCTTTCTTCCCATCTGTTGTTGAGATATATAGCCTGCCTATTACCATTTCAGCATACAGATCCTTTTTATTGAAATTACTTACTTAATGTTATTCTTTATAACTTTACGAAGTTGACGGTAGGTGACTAGAAGTATGGTGCTAATTATTTTTATATTCAACTCTCAGGGTTATACCACCTCCATCACTACAATCGAGCAAAGGGGACAGTCTCGCGAGGCGGAGGATACTGGAAGAGTTAAGCACCACGGAGAATCCATTGTGGTTGGAGACGAAGCTAAGGCCCTACGAAGAGCAGGAGTTAACGATGAATGTGTTTGGAGACCAGAACGAACAGTCCTTGTCGGACCAGCCACAGGTAGAATTTATTCATGTGGCGTTTTTTATATTTTTGATATTTAGTAACCATTTATTTCATTATTTCTATAATTGACCAACTTTTTGGATAAAGTTTAACCTAGATTCCTAATGGTATTAATTTCTGTATGTTTTAAAAGTTTTTTTTACAATCGGTTCAGTCAGTTCAAGGAGTGAAAAGGTAAAGAGAACCGTCTCATATGGAGAATGGTTGAAAAAGAGTCCATCTGTAAGCAATAAATAATAGTTCCAATTCCAAAACTCTCCACAATAGCGCTAGAGTAGGTAGAGGTTACGAAATGAACTTAGCAGTTGTCGACGGAGTGAAGTGTGCCGAGTTGAGGTATTTAATATTTTGTGGTGACGAGAGTAGTTGATGAAACTGCAGTATTTAAAACCTCAACTACTCGCGTTGTCTAAAATAATTTAGTGAATATAACCTAGAAAAAGTCGCCATGAAACACGTTGAGAATGATTTTGAAAATAAAAATTTTGAAAACGATAAAACATTTATTATAAAAAAGAATTTTTGTAAAAGTTTATGCATTAAAAAGTTATAAATGTTCTTTGAAATTTACCCTCTAGCTACAGTGGCGCCACACTTATTTAACGCTTTTCTGTGGACACTTTTTAATATACAGAGACGGTTCTCACCTCTACACTCCATGTTCCCAAGATTAGCCTGAATAGACAGATAGATAAACATTTAAAAAAAATGGTTATTCATGTCTCAATGGCGTGCTAGTAACATCCTAAGTTCAATATGAGGCAGTTACTCGACACTTCAATTTTGTTTATATGTATAGATTTTTTAAGAAGTGGTTATGTTGTTGCACAGACGGACAACACGTACGCGACGATCCAGGGCGGGCGCGGGGGCGGGGGTGCGGCGGGCCCGGAGTACGCCACGCTGCCCGGGGACTCGCCCACGCCGCTCGAAGCTGCACTTGGCTTCCAGGTATTTACTAAAGTTGAAACGGATATCCGGTAACTATCCGGTATTCGGCCTATCCAGCCTAAAATTACTATCCGGCTGGATACCGGATAACAAAGAGCTATCCGGCCGGATACCGGATTTAAAGAAAACACAAAATATCTAATTTTGTAAAGTACTTCATTTATGTCACTTAACAAAAATCAGTTAATCAGTAATCACAAAATGTTCATTTTACGAGAAAATTTACAAAATTAGTACTCTTAGTGCGCTAAGGCACAGAATAAATAATAGTACTACGTAGCTAAGGTCAAATCATGGTGAATAAATACTAATTTCTCTGCATTGAAAGGTAACAAGCGGTTTCGTCTGTCATCATAAACAAGGCCAGCTACAGAACAAAGTCTTTCGCTGTACACACTGCTGCAGGATGCTGAAAGCTATATTTTGGCAAAATTTGATAAATTTGGGTATTGTGTAGCAATACCTGCCCACCAGATATACCTAAGGGTCACGATCGCGAACACTTTACACTGACTTTACTTTTCGCTTCTTGCGATGCACCAAACGGCAATGTTCGGCAGAATATCCGGCGAAAGACTGGCCGAATATCCGGTATCCGGCCAAACAGCTATCCGTTTCATCTCCAGTATTTACTATTAAGCTATTGCATAGCTTCTATCGCGGGCCTTGAGCGCGGGGACCGAATCCAGAAATTCCGTAACGAAAAAAAACCTCACGCTCCCCACTCCGACGGGCACGGAGGTGTGGTGTTGAAAGCCGTGCATCGTCTAACGTCGTTTCAGTTCGGCAGACTTCGGCACTCGGCAGACTTCGGCACGGTGTTTGTGTGCGTGCGACTAGACGTATGCGTGTACACTAGCTGCTAACTCAATGATAAAAATTCCTGAATAACCTAACAGTAAAGATATTAAAAATATTAACAATATTAACTTCTCATTTATTCATTAAGAGAAAAAAAATTGTTTTCTTATCGGTCACCACGCTCAAAAAGTGTAACTTGATTTAATATCAAAGACTTAACTGCATGAATAAAATAAATAAATAATTATAATTGCATAATTTGATAAAAAATGCTATGCAATAGCTTTACCGCGGCAGTCACCGAGTGCCACATGTATTTTTTTATTTTATTGTTTCGATCAATTATTTTCAGACTATGATATTTTCCTAAGCTGATGAATTCCCTTATGACACAACTTAGCGGCAAAATTATTTAACTATCGAAATCCAAGGCAATGGCCTCTATTATATTATTTATATTACTCAGAGCTCTCAACTAATCTGGTACATAAAACTTTTGACACTATACATTATTATGACATTAATATATATATATATATATATATATATATATATATATATATATATATATATATATATATATATATATATATATTGTGTTTTTATTATATATATCAATCATCATCATTACAGCCCTTCACAAGTCCACTGCTGAACATAGGCCCCCAAGGAATGCCACAAAGCACGGTCCAGGGCCACCTGCATCCATCGACTTCCTGCATGTCTTACCAGGTCGTCACTCCATCTAGTGGGGGGTCGCTCTACACTACGCCTACCGGTACGAGGCTGCCACTCGAGAACCTTTCTTCCCCATCGGTTATCGGTTCTTCGAGATATATGGCCGGCCCATTGCCACTTCAGCTTACTAATCCGCTGGGCTATGTTGGTCACTCTGGTTTTACTGCGGATATCCTCATTTCTGATTATATCACGCAGAGAAACTCCGAGCATAGCCCTCTCCATAGCTCGCTGAGCGACCTTGAGCGTCCTCATACGGCCAGCAGTGAAGGACCACGTCTCAGATCCGTAAGTCGTCACTGGCAACACGCACTGGTTGTACACTTTAGTTTTCAGAGATTGAGGTATACCTGACGAGAAGAGGTGTCGTAATTTCCCGAACGCTGCCCAACAGAGTTGAATCCGTCGATTGACCTCTCGGTCGAAGTTGGACTTAACTTGTCGGACTATTTGTCCTAGGTAAACGTACTCGTCAACAACTTCGAGCATAGTGCTCCCAACAACTACCGGCATAGGTGTGACATGGACATTAAACATGATCTTTGTTTTGTCCATGTTCATCTTAAGAACTATCCGTTGGGAGGCACTATTGAGGTCATTGAGCATAGCGCTTAGGTCCTCCAGCGATTTTGCCATAAGGACTATATCGTCGGCAAATCGAAGGTGAGTGATGTACTCGCCATTGATGTTAATACCGTATCCTTTCCAGTCCAGTAGCTTGAAAACGTCTTTCAACGCAGCGGTGAAGAGTTTCGGGGATATAACGTCACCCTGTCTTACACCTCTCTGCAGTTGGATAGGTTTCGTACTCTGGTTCTGTACTCGGATAGCCATCGTAGCCCTACTGTACAAACACTTCAGCACTTCGATATACCGACAGTCATCTTGGCACCGCTGAAGAGACTGTAGCACCGCCCAAATTTCGACGGAATTAGAGGCTTTCTCATAGTCCACATACGCCAGGTAAAGTGGCAGATTGTACTCTTCGGACTTCTGTACAATTTGTCGAAGGGTATGTATGTGGTCTATGGTACTAAAGCCTTTTCGGAAACCGGCTTGTTCGGGAGGCTGGAACTCGTCGAGTCTGCGTGCGAGACGATTCGTAATGACGATTCGAAAGTGGGGTCGGTCTGTAGTTCTTCAGAGAGCGTTGTCGCCTTTCTTAAAGAACAAGACCACCGCACTTCTGCTCCACGCCTCCGGAGTAGTGCCACCATGGAGGACGGAATTGAAGAGCTTCTGAAGGACTTCAAGTACCGGTGTCCCACCCGCTTTCAGAAGCTCCGCTGTAATTCCATCCTCGCCTGGGGCCCTGCCGTTTTTAAGGTGCTGGAGAGCCATTCTAATCTCGCTCAGACTGACGTTCGGAATATCATCGGAATAGTGATCGTTACTCACACTTGCGTGTGGCTCTAACGATGATGTGTACAGCTGCCCATAGAACCTCTCAATCTCACTCAAAATCTCAGGTAATATATAAAATAATAATATATATATATATATATATATATATATATAAACATTATACACGCACTTACTTTTGATAGCATTCCTTGGGGGGGCCTATGTTCAGCAGTGGACATGTGAAGGGCTGTAATGATGAAACACTTACGCTTTACGCCCGCCACCCAGAGGGGTAGGCAGAGACTACGGACTTCCGTTAGGCAAGATTCTGACACACCTCTCTTATACATTCATATAAATAAATATATTCATAAAAATAACAACAGCCATCATACTTCTAATATTGCATCGTCAAGAATATTCACTAACTTGTGTTTTATCAGGGAAGCACATTCAAGCCTCCAACTCCCGACACCCCGGAGCCGCCACCTCGACCATCAGGGCTTGGCCCGCCTTGATCGTAAGTAAAAAAAAACTACGTACTCTCACATTACGTTGTAGAGCCATGCTGCAGCTTTATTATAGTAGCAGCACGAATGGGTCGATTACCGAAAAATACCACGCTCTCACAGAATACCAGCGTAAAATAGCAGCTTAATGCTGCTATGTTTCGTATGTACCATACGTATACTCTATATTAGTCCACAGGGACGACCACGTATCTGTACTTTGATTCTTAATCAAGGATAGATATAGACGTCATTTACTATCAGGTAGACTGTGTGCTTGTTGATCACCCCTATTCTATAAAAAATGTAATATGATTACAATTTGGGTTATTCATGAACTATAGTCTGTTCCCTTAGATACGGTCGCCTTTGTGTTACGCCGCCTTGACACGTGACGCATCTTGTCAAAGACGTACGTACACCAGCAGGAAAATTTGGCATTTTAAAAGGAAACGCTGTAATGAAAGTTTCTTTGCTACCTAACTTGTGTTTATTATTTATATTCGTATTTTATTAGAATAACCATAATAATAAAATATTATTTTATATAATTCTTAGAATAGAAAAGCATTTATTTAACAAACAGTAAAAAATATTAAAATAAAAGCAAAATAATAAGTGTGCCTCCGGGTGTACCGACGCTGTCTTAGCGAACAGACTATACACTATTTTAAACCATATGCCCAGTACTGTATTCTATCAATCTTTAGTGTAGTTGAGAACATCCAATATAATTGTTTGTCTTTCTCTTTTTCAGATGCGTACGAAACCTATTGCTGTATAGAAAAATAGACTTTACGGACATTGTAAATATAGTTGATATTACACAGTGCATGTTGGCAACGTGTTATAAAAAGTGGAAACTCATACTAAACAGAGTGCTGCTGTAGGTTGTCTGAATTTTTCTGTCTCGCTTGTCTGACAATCGATGCTAATACATTTAGCCCTAACTTACGGTCAACTCTCCGTAACTTCTTTAGTAGATTGCAAGCGAGCGAGAAGACTAGTTCTTTGGTTTTTAAACCGCAAACGCTGTTTTCGATAATCTAACACTGATTTTGTTTAATATGACTAATAAAACGCTGTCATTATTTATTGTGCGCACTTTGGCAACGTGAATTGAAATTTATTTCAGATAAATATGTTAAATTTTTTCGTATTAGGCTAAAAATAGCAACTGTTGTTAATGGTAAAAGTACAACTGCGTGGCATTTTTATCGTGCCAGCTATCATATATATAAAAGTCTTTACTGTAAGGTCGTTCCTTCATTGTCGGACCATGATCTATTATGCTCTTTATTGGTATCGCGTTTTCATTGGTCGATATTATTAAACGTGGCATCATTCTTTAACAATATCGTCGACAAGTGAAGAGGATCTTCTTTTCCAGCATAGTGTAATTTGCGTATACAGACACCACAGCGACTTTATACATCATCGTCATCGTCATCATTATCATCATCAATAATACTGCCCATCACAAGTCCGTTGCTGAACATAACCCCCCCCCCCTTCCCACCCACCCAAGCGATGTCACAAAGCACAGCCTTGAGCCTTCTGCATCCATCGACTTCGTGCATCTTTTACAACTTCGTCACTGCTTCTAGTTGATGAGAGAACATAAATCTAGGATAAATACGTCAATCAATTTGTAATTCTAGTGGAATTGGCATTGTTTATACATATTAAAGATGTTAAAAAATTATTAATTAAGATCCGTGTAATAAAACAAAATGTCTTAACTAATTTGAGGAATACCTCCCACCGAGTTTCTTCCGTGGTAGAGCCATGCTACAGCTATACTTTTAGTATAGTTGCAGTACGAATGGGTCGGCTCGACCGGGTAAGGACCATGCTCTCACGGAATTCCAGCATAAAATAGCAGCTTAAAGCTGCTTTGTTTCGTATGTTGAGTGCAGAGAACCGAAGACCCTTTTAACTGGAAACGAGGCATTCCATCTCAGTCCTCACGGGTGACAACGCATCTGCATTTTGATTCGTAATCGAGGATTGATGTAGATGTTCATGGGCCACGGCAACCACTCACCATGAGGTGGACTGTATGCTCGTTTGTTACTCGTATCCTATAAAAAACCCCTCCCTCAATTACATGCACATAGACAAATATACGATAACTTTGGAGAGACCATTGTTCAGCAGAAGAGCGAAGAGCGGCTGTAATGATGATCATGATGATCGTGATGAATTATAATTGTAGTAGGTACTTGTACTGTTGTTTAATTTAAAATTTTGCTGTATTATAATTAATTAAAGCAAACGTTAAAGCATATTATGTACAGTATTCAGTTGACACTAAAGTTAAGTCGAGAAAATGAAGCTTAGATATTATGGGTATGTTCCAAAATAGAACACAGTGTACTGTCCAATGCAAATGACGGCATGAATCGACGCCATACTGGTGATTCGATCCAAAACATAGGACAGTATATGACGTCATACATTTGCGCCATATTGGAAAAGTGTTGGCGATTATTTTCTCATTTTGTGCTCCAATAATCATTATATCCTCCAAATGAAGATACCAGCAATTATCCTATAATTTTTTGTATTTGAATAAATAAAAACAAATTCTGGCAGGCTTCATTCGGCGCACACACAAATAAAAGTTGTTTTATTGTGGCCGGATATCCGATACAATATGGTGGCGGCACACCAGTACAATGGGTGCGTTCGACAGAAAAAAGCGCTAGCAAGCGCTTGTAAGCAAAATGGCGATCGTAAGCGGTAAGCGCTGTCAAATCGTAAGTAGCTATTTTCCTCCAGGACACGATGTTAGTTTTAACCGGGGAATCTAACCTAATTTAAATATATGTTTGTAAAGTATTCATATTAAAAACTTACCAATCATGAGTTTTTAATAGCATGTATATGTTTATTCATGTCATTATATTACTTAAAACTAATATTGCACATAACAACTTATAAACTCTATTTCAAAACAAACAAATTAAATAAGCAAAATGGCGGATTGTGTCAGCGCTACTGAAGTAGCAATTGTGTCCTGGCCGAAAACTATTTTAGCGCTTATAAGCGCTTGCTAGCGCTTTTTTCTGCCAAACGCACCAGTCAATATAGTGTCAATTGATAAAGTCATTTGTATTCGGCAGTATACTGAAAACGTTTTCGAACATACCCTATATTACATACCTTATGAAAAACGTGTTCACATAATATTATATATATATAAATATTGTAATACCTTGCACATATATACGTTGACAACGTTCACTTGTACTGTAGCTTAAAATTATTTTATATAATATGAAGAATATTGAGTCAATTTCGTTACATTTAAGGAAATACCTTGTGATGATGATATTATTATAAAACTTACATAGAGTATTATAAAGAAATTAATGTAAATGGCTCGTAACTCTTATGTTAAGAGATATTATTTACTATTTGCAACAGTGTTTCATCTCATCTCAGTAAAATTAAAGTGGATATTGATATGTTGGATTTATTTTCTAGGTTACTTTTCGTAACGTATAGCATATGTACAATCCCCTTTAGTAGCTATTTTAATTTCTATGCCATAATCATGAGAAGCAAAAAGGTGGATAAAAGTCAATGCTTTAGCAGGCTTAGCTAAAATTATTTTCAAAGATCGTTAAGACTACAGAAAACTAAAATAAATAGCGATGACATATCTGAGCGCTAAGTTACGTGACTTAGCGTTAAAACATACAGACAGACATATAACAATATACTGACTGCATATCTGTATAATCTGTGCAGAAATTTCCGTTGTTCTATAAGCCGCCTTGCAATTTTTCGCACTGATTTGCCAAGTACTAGTGAGAACTAAATGTATGACAAAATACCAGAATTCTGATATAAATATCCTGTTTTATATCGTTCATATTTTACCATGAAGTTATAACTCGTATAAGGCCATAAGGTCATATACATACATCGTATATGTACAAAATAGGTAATTAAATTGATAACAAATGATATTGAACCTTAAATCACTGGAGTATATGATTGAAATTAGTGTAGCAAACAAAGCCTTACTATTTTTATATAAGAATTTAAATTGGAATAAGGTATATTATGTATGTATATAATACTATAAGCCGCATTGCCGCAAAGAACCGGAGACCCTATTTACTGGTAAAGAGGAATTCCATCTTATTTCTGGGGAAGATAACGACAATGAAACACTTGCATTTTGATCAGGTTGCGCTTACAGTCAGGTGGACTGTGTGCTCATTTTCAACCTTATTCTATAAAAAAAAGGTTTGTGCGTGTGTACATTTATACGTTAGTAAACGTTTTATTCGCATATTTCGGGCAAACTAATTTTATTCGATGCGTAATTGCATAATGTATACATGAGTTTTCTTTTTAACAAAAAATCTTGACTTACAATTAATCTCCAAATGGGAACTGGATAGAGAGGATGGGTAGATCACGTCGCATCGATACCCATTTTTAATTATAAATAAATTTTGATATAATATACCTTTATGCCATAGCGTGATGTAAATTGTACAAAAGTAAATATAGTTATATGTTGTTTTTACAAGGCGTAGTAATATAAGAATAAATTGTAAATATTGATGTAAGTATGTATTTTAAATTTGCGAAGTATTTAAAACAACGAATTAATTAAATGTGATTTTTCGAAATTTTGCTGTTTTATTTTTATTTTTAATTTAACCTTTTTTACGTTAAACTAAATATTTTTTACCTAGCGCACATAGTTTTCAAGCTTGTTGTGAAGTTTTCAAAATCGGTTAGTTCGATGTAGACGATGTCGCGAGTAACAGCTAGTCTACAATAAAGACTAAACAAACAAGGATCATTCTATAAAATTTTAACTGTCCAATTTCATTTTTCGTTCCTAGTGTAACAGTGATTCAACGTCTCCATAACAGTTCTGATGTTTTCTAAGTGTTCAGACAAAGAAACCCTCAAGCAGTCTTCCAAATCCGACAAGCACATGTTCATCTGCTGGAGGAGATCCGACATGGCCTCCAGTT